TTTTAAAAATGGCCTAATTAAGTATCTTATTGTTTTCGTTAAATTAGAGTTTAAATGTGGTTATATTACGCTGGTTTGAAGGTTTACTGTAAGCCAATCAGTTACACTTTAAACTATACATCTTCGTAAAATATTTGTCACTGGTGCTGGGAAGAGTCACAAAAGGGGGGGGGGGGGCAGGCCCCCCCCCCAGTATAAAAAGTGTGTGGGCTAATGGCCCCCCCCCCGCTTCCGCCGCCGTTGTTCTAAGTATACCGAAACAATAACATGATATTTAAACAATTTAAGGTATTATAATTATTTCGATATCGCAACCTATTAAAATGCCATATAACATCATTGTCTACTATCCAATTGCTTTTATAAGATACTTGAACGCCTTGTCTATGATAGACTCTACAATTTCTTATCTTCCCACATAAAACTGTTTAATCAATAATAAACAAAGCACAATTTGATGTAAAACTTTCTGACAGCTTTCGTCTGTTATTAGCATGATCATCAGGCTATGTGGGCTAGCATCCCTTGTTTGGGCATTGTGTAAACAACGCCCTCTGATGCCAGCTCTCTTTCTGTCAGGATTGGTTCCGGGGGCCCCCGGCATTTCAGGTTAAGGAGTTGGTCATATGTGGGAAAGCTTGTATGCCGTCTCTGTCGTCTCTGTTCATCGTCCGTTTTTGTTACCTTATTGAGATTGCCTACATGATTGTTTTTTTGTCCCATATTGATTCCGTTTTGATTATTTTGGTGTCGTCCACCATATGGTAAGTGATGGCTGCTTTATGCAATGTTTCTTGTTCAGTAGACAGGATACGTGCCGACCGTGTCCGTACTCGTTGTGTGTTGTTTTCTACATCTTGTAATGTATTCTTCTAGCCGCTTTTTGAATGGTCTTCCTGTCTTCAAAATGTATATGGAGTCGCAGTTTCGGCAACTAATTTTGTAAATGGTGCCAAAGGTGTTCTTTTTCTACCTTGTCTTTTGGGTGCACCAGGTGCTCTCTGAGCCTGCTGTAAGGTTGGAAGTAAACTCCGATTTTATATTTGTATAAGGTTCTCCTGATTTTTTCTGACAACCCTTGGATATACGAGACACCGATATTGCCCTTCAAGGTCTGTGAAGCTTCTGTCTCTTTATTGTGACGTTTGTCCTTTTGTCGTTGTCATACTCTATTTATGATCCATTCTGGGTTACCGCACCCTTTTAGTGCTGTTTTGATTTTTTGAATTTCTTTCTTCTATTCTGTTCCTCTTTGTTTTGATAAACATCTGTGTTGTTAGTCTAGTGAAGAAGTCATGTTGCCTAACATAGACGAAAGCTCGCAGTAAGTTTTCATCAAATTGTGCTTGGTTTATTATTGATTAATAAACAGTTCTACAATCATTGTAAGCAAACAAGATGAAACTATTCGAATAAATATTCTTCATGATAACCAATTGGTTTCAGACCAAAATACTCCACTACTCTATACTAACCTTGCACTCTTCGATATCTAAAATAAAAATTTTCCGCTCTTTCAAAAAAATCACACTATCAGCTATCTTCATCTCTCAAAGGCTGTCGACACCAAAGACCATTCAATTTTCAATCTTTCCAACCTAAACTACTATGACATGTCGTGGAACTCCAATATCTCTAGTTGCAAAATAGGAATTTATTTTGATAGAAATCAGTTTAACCCTTCAACTCTTACTTTTCTGAACGTCTTTCTATAACATGTGGGTACCCCCGGGTTCTATACTAGGCCCTCTTCGTTTCCTCATTTACACCAATGATATAATACATGCTTCAAACTTCTTTCTCCTATCATCTATCTGCAAAGGATACAAACATTTTTCTTTCTAATCCTGACTTTAATACCTTAATCAAAGCCTTTAATAATGAAATAAAACATGTTTCAAACTGGTTTAAGCCTAACAAACTTTCTTTAAACATCAATAAAATTATATCCACCTTTACCACCAACGAAAAAAAAACAAATAAAAATATGAACACCTATATTGATAAGACTCACATTAATCAAATTGATCATACTCAGTTTGTTGGTGTACTTATCGATAAACAAACTATTAACTGGACATTACAAACATTTCTAAGAAAATCACTAAAATTTTTGGCGTACTAAGTAAACTTAAATTGACACTCCATCCAACATTCTCTTCTTTTTATGAGCCCCGAAAATCCAAAAAACAAGGCCATCCGCATCTGCACTCTATCCAATTACAAATCACACTCCAAACCTCTCTCTCAACAACTCAACTCTAAAAACATCTTTGACATTAACAAATTGCAAACCGCCCTACTTATGTACCAGTATTCCCACGATAAATTCCCAAAAATTGTAAAAAATATATATAAAAATATTATACATATAATATCTTTTTTCTCCCCGACGAATTGTGGTTTTTCTCCCCCTCTTGTTGAGTCATGCTTAAAGCCATTTCGGCTTCTTTGGCTTTTCCAGACACATTTGCATTTTGTCTAAATCTTTTTATTGCCTTGTTTCCACTTTTATACATTGTGTGAATGAATCTGAATCTGAATTCTGTTTAACCTATTTATTTTTTTTTACCAAAATTGTTTATTTACAGTTTCCAAATTCTAATCCATCATATTTGAGCATCGTCACTTACATTGGTTGCAGTATGTCAATCATTGGTCTCATCATTACCATAGTAACGGTTCTTGGTAGCAAGTACGTAAATGTTATTTATAGTGGCTTTTTAAAATAGTTTGAAACACGCCGTTCTACTTTTACTATGAAACAATGTATTCGAGCGTACAGTAGTTTTAACCTCATCTGACTATCTCTACAGTAATCACACAGCTTAAATTTATTACATTTATTTAGCACCTTGCGGTGTTGATACCGTACTTCATTAGCGTATAAAGCACTTGTGATGCTTAGAATTAGTTCAAGGCACGTACTATCATACTATTTACATAAAATGTCATCAATCCTTTTTAGATCAATTCGAAGCCGTCAACCTCAGCAAATAATGGTGAATCTATGTTTCTCAATGTTGTTTCTCTACATCGTGTTTCTATTTGGTGTCGATACTGCTCGACATGGGAGCAATGGATGTATCACTGTTGCCGTACTTCTCCACTATTTTTTACTGACGACGATTGCATGGACTGCCGTGGAAGCAGCCAATATATACTACCTTATTATCAACGTATTTAACCAGCCAACTTCGAGGTTCATGAGCCTCTCGTTAGCACTTGCATGGGGTGGGTTTTTTATATTCAATTCATTTATAGTAAAAAAAAATGCGGAAAAGCCAATATTTTGGTTCTGAATTTTGCCTTTTCCCGCTACTCTACTGTTGCAAGGTATTTACGGTTAGAATCAACGCAAATTTGCAGTGAGACACCCTGCCCTTAAACTACTTTAGAAGAAGTTGGTAGTTATAGAATACAAATATAGCCTCCAAATTCACCAGACTTAACAGTGTCGGTTTTTAACGTAATAGTTCTAAGCCTGGAGCTCTACCTTCATATCCATCAAATACCCCAAAAGCTAGAGTTCTAGTCTTGGTAGCACCTTTTTAGTATGCTTTATGTATTATAATGAGAAACAAGTTCTTGCAACATAAAAAATTAGTTCCCCTTATGTCGATGTTAATATCCTGATTGTTATTTATTGATAAATTATGTAATCATTATTTCAAACACAGGTCTACCTTGGATTCCAATTATCATTATGCTGTCTGTCGACAAACATTTTTACAATAACGACAAATAGTAAGTTGCCAACATTTAACCGGGGATATTTGAGGTAGATCTTCTACTGTTTGGGACACCCTCTTCAGGGGCGGATACAGGTTTTAGCAAAATTGGGGAGGGGCGCCAAAGTAACGATGGACAACCAATCGAGGTGCGTAGCACGTAGCGGGGGTGGGTGGGTAAGATTTTAAGATAGTAAGATTTTTTTTTTAAATGGTACGCCCTTAAAAGCTCTTACAGGACACCTTACAACAAAGAAAGGCATCTATTATTTAGAAACGATGTGAGTACTATTACTCTGTCGCACACCAGGAAATTGGAAACGTATGATCATCTTTCTACGGAATTGAGTATCCATATAACAATTATTATTTTTTTGTAATATATATATGAATGGGGGGGGGGGTATACGCTTAGCAGCCCCCCCCCCACTAAATCTCCCCCTGCTCTCTCCCCTCTCCCACAAAGGGGACTCCTTTTTTGCCAGTACAAGACAATAATTATATATTTTTTAACACTGTTTAGCATAAAGGGACACGTTATTAGTAACCAAGGTGTTCCTAAAGATATTTAAAGTTAACATTATATCAGATACTATTAGTAGTCTTACAAAATGTACAAGTTAATACTTAAGTATAGGATATTATTTTATGTGCTAAATGGTAAATAATAAAAATATCATATTCCTTTTCTTGTAGCTGTTACATCAACAGTGCTGAAAAGGTAGCCCTTATCGGTGGAATCGTTGCGCCTATAAGCATTATTATCTTTGGGAACTGCATCGTTTTTGGTTTGGTTGTCAGGAAGATATTTATTAACACCCAAGGTAAAATCGCTGATCCATCGAAAAATGAAACCAGGGAGCGACTGCTCAACGCAGTGGCTATTTCATGCTTGCTGGGGCTTACCTGGATCTTCGGATTTCTGTCTTTCGATCATGATGGCCAGGTGGTTTTCTTGGTGTTGTTCTGCATCTTCAACACATTTCAAGGTGTGGCAATCTTTGTGTTGTTCTGCTTTTTGCGTAAAGAATGCAAAGACGTGTGGAAAGCATGGTTCAAGAAGTGCGGAGTTCAGAAACCGACGTTCCTCTCTAGCTTCCTTTATAAGCGTTCCGAGTGCTTGGTGGATGGTGGAGCCGAAATTAGTAATATCGGATCCAGTGAATTCACACAACAAACTAACGCATCGTTCAATTCTGAATCAAAGTTTTAGTATTATATAGATTTCGAAACTCATTGATAAGATAGATAGCTGCGATAACTGTATTTCAGCATATCATTATGACGAGTACCACTTTTTGCGATTCATTTCATCTTTAATATTATGTTACATAACCATTTTTATGCATTGCGTATAAAAGCATGCAAATGTTTTATGTGTATAGTCGTTATTGTCTGAGATTTAAATGAAACATATACACAGATCTACATATAATTATAAATGTATCGTCCAAAACGGAGTCGGGTAAATGTTCGTTCCTCTGTTTCTACAAAAATAAGGGAGTGGGCACTCTAATCATTAGATGTTTGCGTGCTCATAGCGCGTATAATTATTACGTAATTCAAGATATAGAAAACAATCATTCTTGCAAATATTGCTTTTGCAAAATTTACGAAAGTATGGTCTGATTTTAGAATTAAGACGTACTTTATATTTATGAAGCACAGGTGGTGTCAATACTTTTATATAACTGTAGCAGTTGGGCAGCCCCTAAAAGCATGTTCGAGAAAGTTGATACAGTCGAGTCCGCCAAAGTCGACTCTGTTTAAGTCGCGTCAGTCGAATTTTTGAAAAAGTCCCAATTCTTTCCTATGTATTACTGTGTAAATTGTTTGTTTAATTCGAATTTTTATAAGTCGAATTTCGGCTATATCGACGAAATTTTCCGGTCCGAATAGGCCGATTTTAAAGTAATTTCAACCACACAAGTCGAAGTTCCAAATTTTGTAGCGCACGTGGGAAAATACACAGCCGTGGGAAAATACAAAGTTCAATCCTTGTTGTACGGCAACAAGTTAGCCAAGTCAAAACTAACATCTCATACCAGCGCGATGTGGAACTTGGCTCACACGATCGTATGTCGTAAGTTGCAGTCTACTCTCACAATGTTCAGTTTGTCGTCCAGTTCAGTTTATAGAACTTGTATTGAACCCATTTTGAACAAGATTGTTGTAGTCTGGGCCTAGCTATTTAATTAATTTACCAAAGCCCTGGATTCTTTTGACTAGGCCTAGCCTAGCCTACGCAAATTCAACACATTATTTAACAATACCTACAGTACCTTTTGTTTTGCTGTACTGCTCAGCAAATTTAATTATTACCAATAAAATTGATGCGATTAATTTTTATATTGTTTTTGCGTGCATTTCTTTCTCCAAGCACACATTCTTCGTTGGGCAATGCCACTTGCTGGTCGGCAGTCTAGTTGTAAACAGAATAGGTCGCGCCCCAAAAAAACTCTGCCTGCCCGCCAATTGGTCCATTTTCGTGGGGTGTTTGGCACTCTAGACATGTGCTTCGGCTGTGATGACGTCAGATCGCCCAAAGTTTCATAGTGCGTGACAGTAAACATGCTCGGTGTAATCAAGAATGTTTTGTTAAAAAAAATTATAAAACAAAGCAAAAAACAAATAAGAAATCCTCATGGTATTATTTTAGAGTCAAATCTAAATAAACCTAAAAAATTAGATTTTATTCTCTACAAATTTCCTCCGTAATAAAATTTGCAACATGTATTGAATAGCATCTTGAGGTGCTTTTGAAATTTACACTGACGAATCTAACGAATTTGAATTACGTCTACTAAAAAGAGTAACCAGTAGGAAATTGCTTTGTCGAGTTCCGTCTTTATTTCAAGTTGATTCCAAATGGTTTTTAATGATTAAAAGCAAGAATATACACTAATTAAAACATTGGAATGCGTACCTAAATTTCACTTCATAATTAACCAACAAAACGTCTACTGGCGTGTCATGTTAATCAATGGATAATATCCATGGCAATGCGAGTACGAGCTAAACGTCTCGTTTTCACAGCGTGTGGTATGCTTGTGCGATGTCTATATTTCCTATCGTCTGCTTTCCAGCGATATACCGTCCTGAATTGGACAAATCGCCCGAGATTCGGAATAGGGAGTTCATGTTTTCAGGAAAGTATTTTATTAAAAGAATAGGAATGATTTTGGGACTTTAAAAAATGTTCGGTTTTGCGTGAAATTCGATTTTGTGGGCATTGAGTACACATAGTATTGTTCTATGTTAATTTTTTTTCCCGAAAATTTGCAAGTCGAGATCTGTATAACTCGATCTTTTTATGCCAGTCCCATTAGATTCGATTTAGGCGGAGTCGACTTATATGTTATCGTCGAAGCTTGGGGGCTATCTTGAATATTAAATACCCACAAATAATTTAAAATAAATCTTTATATTCAGTTACAAAATCAGATCCATTGACAAATCGTATTGACAAATGTAGGTAGGTGCAGTGGCGTATCTAGAAGTCTTGAAATGGGGGTGCTGATGGAGGCGTGAGCGCGAAGGTGAGGCGGGGGCTCGAAGGTGAAGTGGGGGCTTGATGATCAGTTGAGGAATGCTAACTCGCAAATAAGGTGATTTTAAGTGATTTTTTGGGAGGGGCGACTGGGGGGAGCGCGAGGATATTTTGGAGGAACAATGATTTCTGTTTATGTAAAACGTGGCTGACTTACCGAACACAAAATTCACTTTGTGTCAGCCTGAAGTTTAATAATACTGCACTGTATATAGACTTACATAAACTACACTTATTGTAAAGACTTCTTATTTTGATACGGTTACTATAATTAATTAATGTATTAAAAAATAAATAATATAATAATCAAATTTAATTTTCTAGTTTCATTCTTTTCATATTAAATCATTGCGCCTATAATACCGTCTTTTCATGTATACAGCCATACATAACTAAGCTTGTAAAAAAAGGCCTAAATCTTGTTATAATGATCGATGCAACAAAAGGAATCAGTTGTTGCCTAGTTTAATTACATTACATTGCGTATGTATTGTTCTTAGGTTGAGGGCCATGACTCTTAAGGTACCTCACACTGTATTGTTTCCTTCACACCAATAATTCGCCAGTTACATGTTGGAATGATGATTTATAAAGGAAGTAAGAAGTGGAGTTATTCTTAGAAGAGAAAAAAAAACTGGAGGAAACTTGGAGCAGCGTTCCAATTTGACAACCTACTGGCTGTGCTTAACTCCCCCTCACCATTGACTAAGGGAAAGTTGCAGTGTTATAATGGTTTGGTAATACCACCTGCGACTGTGGACTTACTGCAACGCCCATTCTTTACTACCGAGCTCAGTCGTTATTAATATGGTCGTAATTAAGGATCTAATACTATACATAATTTCATATTGATAAATTTTAATTCACGCCTCTTCATTAAACATTTCATTTAAAATCACGGATGCTGTATGTCTGTAGGTAATGTTGACGATCTAAATCCATGAACATAGCCAAGGACTACATGGTTTAATATACGGAGGGCAAGACAATTTATTAAGTAGAGTAATATAACATTAGGAGTTAGCACCATGTTATAAACATAACATATTACATTATAAGTACAGTTTGTTGTGTTATTACATTGCTGGACAAATATTCTTGTAGGACACATTATCGTTAAGTTTTTATATTATTTTGCTTTGAGAAACAACGTATGAACAAAAGTAAAATTAAAACATTTTAGTCTGTTCAAGCAATTGAGTAATTTATTGACTTCCAATGATACAGAACAGTATCTTTTCAATGATTGAACTATATGAATTTAATATTTATACGTGCGCTCATTTGAGAGATTTTCAAAGATAACTAATAATATTAATGATGAATATGATGATGATATTAATTGTGATGTTGATCATTATAATATTGATGATGATGGTTCAGGGTTAGTGTTGTATAGGCCTATGCTTTGTTGAAATTTAGATTTACCGATCTTGACCACGATGCCTGTTCACAGAGTTTTATCAGGGCCTGGCTTGTGAATACTGTATTGTTATAATTCGTCATCAAAATGCATTTATTGCAACAGAGAATGGACATCATTTTAATAATAATAATAATAATAATAATAATAATAAATATTTATATAGCACCTAATGTTAAAAACCTCTAGGCGCTTAACAACATAATAAAACAGCGATGCAGGAAAAGGTGGCATTCAAAAAAAACCCTCAATTTAAAATCAATTTTATCTGATAGTAATTAGGCAAACTAGAGGAAAAATTCAGATTATCGTTTTCATACACTATGGTCCTCAATATCATAAATACAAAACAACTCCAATCATCAGTCTATTTTATTATAGAAAGTTTATTTTCAAAATTCAAAACATTTACACAAATCCGACAGATTTAACAGGCAAATATTACTACAGAAAATGCAATAGGATACAATTTACAATTATTCAATGATTGTACTTTGAATAAAAAATAAATCATTTGCGGAACTGTAATAATATATACAGTTTGCCTACGCCAGAATCGGTCCCATGAGTCAAAGTACTGCAGGCAATATATTCATTCTAACTGTTAACCAACAAGCTCTCATTCGCACAAGTACCTACTACCAGTCATGTGACGAAATGCAACAAAAGCATGTGCTCTAGTTAAATATAGTTAAACTGTGAATATTTACCTTACTTATTAATATAGACAGTGCATACATTGTAAAGAAGAATGTAATGTTAAAAATGACCTAGCCAGGTTACTTTTATTGATGCTCTCAAAATTTGAAAATTCCCTAAACACATTATTACTGTATATGCAAATGCAAATCCTATTAAAACAACTGTAAAGAAGAATGTAATGTTAAAAATGACCTAGCCAGGTTACTTTTATTGATCATCTCAAAATTTGAAAATTCCCTAAACATTATTTATTCAAACGCAAATCCTACTAAAAACAACCAATTTTTAAAATTGAACGTGGGGGAATTTGTTTTTCGTTTGGAAGGAATAATAGGCGCATTCATTCATACAAGTGCCTGTTATAACTTTCCCCCAGTGGCATATACTGTTGAGCTCCCTAGCGTTGGAAAGAATATCCTCAGAAACATTTATACAAAATTTAAATATAAGAACCAGTAAGTTCAACATTTACTGTACATCAAAAACACATTATTATTGTACTGGTCGAATGGTACATGGATTATTAAACTTTGCTATCAAATATTGCAATAAAACTGCCAAACTGTTATAAACAATGTACGTACAAGATGGCTTCAATGTTACTTGACTAGTTAAAATACATGCACTTATTTAAAATTAATTAAATAATAATAAATATACCAGTATATAAAAAAACTGTAGATATGCATGTATATGTTAAGGCAGACTGTAGCAACAGTAAGTGTAGAATGTAAACTAGGCGAGTCTGAGTTACCCGATTGTATAACTGTGTGTGGTATGTACAATACAGTAGTATCACTGTGCTGCCATAGAAGTATAGGCACATAAACTAACTTTACAAGTTGAGAATTTACAAGTTAGTATGGTATTGACTACACTTTTAGTTCAGACTTGAGGATGTTAGAAACAACCTAGGGGGTAAACACACTTTTGTTTCAACAGTTTCAGCCATTCCTCAGTAGGATGGAAGTGTATAATATGCTATCTTATCATATTACCACCACCATTCTAGCATCAAGTCCGCAACAAATTTAGTAAAATATCATGGCACTTTAATTACTATGATTTAACCTTATATTATTCATTGCTAAAATTTTGATACCAAATAACCTGTGTATTTTTTTCTTTCACTAATTCACATGGTTTAGCCAGTATTTGTATATCCATAACTTTTCCATTGGGAAAGGAATTACTAAATTTGTTAAAAATGAAACAACTTTTCTTAACAACTGTCTTTGACTAATCCCTGATGAGAACTTCTTGTTGTATATTATGCCACGACCACGACCAATTGGATAATAGAGTATTTTTGAATTTTTAAGTTTGAAATTTGAAACACCATAATCTTGACGATTAATATATCACTGTATACTACTGTACAATGAAAAATAGGAATTCAGCTCTTTGAGTAACATTTACACAAAAACACAATTCATCATCATACAATGCTAAAAATCTGAATCTACAATTTAGAAAAAAATTCCAATTACAATACAGTGTAAACATCAAAAGGAAAATAAAGCTTGAAATACACTATACGATTTTGTTCACTCATCACACAGCATTTGATCAGACTCTGCTGTATGTGTATGCTTCATACATATCTGAGCAAACAATTTATGTATTTAGTATGTAAAAGGTTAAGTCTGACAGACAAAAAAAAAGATCTGATAGCATATGGCTGAAATACAGTATGCAGTATTCAAATACCTCACAGGACCAAATATGTTTTCCTCAATTAATCATTAACTCATCATATATTCTTATGATTACCGGCTTTTTAGAAACTTGCACCATCTTCAGAAACTTTCTTTAACTTTAATTGTTATTGAATTCAGATTCAAAGATTTAGGTACCTGATTGAAATTATAGTAAGGTGGGCTAAATCTGCTTGTATACAGCAAGCTTACTATGAAACAAATAGGTTTAGATGTAATTTAGAATGTTTTAGATAAGCAAATTTCATATTTTCATCTAATTGATAATAATAATAAACTTATGTACAATTACACACAATGTAACAAACATTTGGGTTAAAAATATACAAGTAGTATTGGTTTTGTAGTAATATCTCAGCAAGGTACTATGTACCAATGATTGTTTGGCTAGATCCATATTTTAGTTTTACTTTCAACCTTAACACAGTCATCTGCCAATTAAAAATGATAGACCTACTAGATCCTACGGATCTGATTGTGCTCTAGGATGACGATCACATTGTAAAATTATGTACACCAAAAAAATAATCAATAAATTATGCTAGTCACTCTCAATATTTCCAAGCAAAATATCATAATTTATCATTATTGAAATTTACAAAATGCTGAGATATCAACACAAGTTTTAATGAAATTAATTATTTATATATAATTTCATCATCATTCAGAGATCATTTCCAGTCACAATTCCTATCTCAGATTCAAAGGTATAAAAATATAAGCTACCACAAGTCTACAAAAGAGTGGCTTTCTATCAAAGGGGTATATTAAGGGAAGGCAGTAGACAATACATTAATGGAGGGCAGTCAACACTTTGAACCGTGCTTAACTCACTATGACTCAGTTGGTGTTAACGCTGCTTACTTTGTACAGCTGGTTAACACTTATCAACGTCAGGGTATCAGCTAAACATCTCGCAAGGCTGCTATTGTATTAAAATCAACAACAAAAAATACTCTGCAACCCTATCACGACACAATCTGAAAGATTTAAAAAATGTTCATAGTGCATAAATATTGAATGATTTTATATATTATACCTTGCAGGATGTATTATCTGGTATAAATGTTTTGTCTAAACCTATTTAGTAAGCACAATGGAGTTAATAATCTATCAAAAACTGAAATTCTGATGGTTTTTTTTGTAGAATTAAATTCTATAAATAGACAATAGTAGTATTATAGTATATCAGAATCTCGGAATCAGTAATTGGGCATTGCTGGAAAATTCAGCACTTTCGTCTAATGTATTTTGCAGCTTGTGTACGCGTGCTTAAATTTGTTTGAAATTTATTTCATTTTAAAACATTTTGTTAATTATAATTTTTCATGAACTTTACAAGCGCTAGTTTACAAGTTGATGTCTTAGACTGGACAACCCCGATGGAAGCTTATTCCAATCACTTATTGTTTTAGCAAGAAACTTTGTATATAATTTATAATTGCTTTTATGTGCGAAGGACATGCAAACAATGTTCAACAGTTTTTCTTGTATAGTACAGATTATGTCTAGCCCTCTAGGCATGTAGTGGTAATGATCTCTTTCTCAAAAGCCTTGGTTGGGGCAGTCAGGCCGACAGTATGAAGTCTTTCCTGTAGGAAGGTGCACTATAGCAACTTAGCCCTGTACTAAAGAAAAAAAGCAGCTAAGATCAAGTTTACAACTTACAGCTTTTACTGTTGTCTTTATGAATTCCTTCTTGTGTTTTAAATCGAAGTCCGGGTACTGGGCATAAACTTGCTTGCAGAAAGCTTTCATTGTTATTTCTTCGAGATTGGCATTTTCTAAAAGTGTTTCTATGGTTACTTTCAATTCACTCTCCTGAAAAAGAAAAAGGAAAACTAGAGATACTATGTTCAATAGAACATGAACCCAGTCATTTTTTAAGAGATAACCACTGTGACTTTTAACCTCAACCTGTGAACACCCCATGTTTGGTAGGAGTCTATCTAATGCAATTGGCCCAATCGTTAGTCACTAGCAATATTTGATAATTTTCACTATAGTGACCCTTGTGATTTTTGACCTATAGGTGAAGAGTGGTTTTTCATGTTTAGAAGGTCCTAAGGATCATTCCTGGTAAATTTGAGCTCAATTGGGCTATTTTGAAAATTTGACCCTGATGACCCCTATGTAACCACTGAGGCCAGACAGGGGTGTAGGAGGTGTCACTGGTTCTTAATGACCAAATTTGATTGAATTCGGTTCAATCATTTACCATTAGTAACATTTTGAACCTTTGACCTATGAACTTTGACATATGGGGTGAAGAGTATTTTTTTAATGTTTAGAAGGTCCTAAGGATCATTCCTGGTAAATTTGAGCTCAATTGTGTTATTTTGAAAAATTTAACCCCGATGACCCCTATGTGACCCCTGAACCCAGACTGGGGTGTAGGAGGTGTCGCCGGTTCTTAATGACAAAATTTCATTGAATTTGGTCCAATGGTTTGCCATTAGTAGCATTTTGAAATGTTACTAGAGAGAACAAAAGAATAACCCTTTAATGACCTTTGACCGTAAAATCGCTGAACACCATAAGACCCTACATTATGCCAATACATATGTGCCCAGGACAAGACTGTGCTATGATATTTGTGACAAAAGTCTTTTATTCATTTTTTTGAAATTTTTTTACCCTAATGACCCCTATGTGACCTTTGACCCCAAGCAGTGAACACCCCATGTATGAAAGGTGTCACCGATTATACTGACCAGGTTTGGTTATAATCGGCACAACCGTTTGGCACTAGTAGCGTTTTGAAATGTTGCCAGCAAGATAAAATTACCCCTTAATGACCTTTGACCCCTTATCCCTGAACACCCTATAGACCTTGCCTTATGCTAATGTATATGTGTAAAGGACAAGACTGTGCTACGTTATTTGTGAGACAAGTAGTCTTTTATACAATTTTTGGTTTTTTGACCCTAATGCCCCTTATGTGACCTTTGACACCAAGTTGTGAAGAACACATAAATGGGACGTGGCACCGGTCCTACAGACCAAGTTTCAATTAGATCGGTCCAGTAGTTTGCCACTAGTAGCCTTTTAAAATGTTGCCAGAAAGAAAGAAAGAAACTGCTAGGAAACGGAACCCAGTCAGCATGCTCTGTTCTAACCATTTTCAAGTCTTTAGTAAGTAGAGTATTTTTGCTATGGTCCTTCAACATCAATAGGTTACATGCATACCACATTGATCACACAAAACGGCTGGTGGTTAACAGATATGATATCGTTGAAAATAAATACCTGCTGTACAGTATACATTACATGTTCCAGTCTAAAATATAATATATCGTATCGTAGTTGCTGGCATAGCATTTTTAATGTTAATACAGTATGTATATCGAGATTGTTCGAGTCAAGTTGCTGAAATAGTCAACACAGCAAGCAGTGCAGTGTGTAATCATAGTCGGTTTTCTGTTTGACATCTCTTTGTCCGCCAACAATTTGTTAATAGAATATGCTGACTTCTTATAAATATTGTAAAAAGCATTATGCATTACATGTAAAGTAGGCTATTCTAAGTGCTTGTCCACGGACAAGTGGTAACTAAAAATCAAACCATAAAAAACACTTCTCCCGGGCGTCAGACAAGTGGGTTTGCTCATGCCTGAATGATGTTAAATTATTAAATAATATATAAAACAATTTACTGTCACATTGATTACATACCGTAAAACTTTTTTGCGAACTTTGGATGGGCTTCTTTTCGAGGCTACTTTTGCAAAGTAAAGAAGGGGAGGGGGACTTCTTTTCAAAATAAATGCAGTAAATTGTGTGAATTTGTACTATAAATCAATAAATAAGGGCACTGTAACCTGTAATCTGTCTCATGAAGTGTATTTAAATGGCATTAAATCACCAAAACTAAACCAAGCCTGTTTTTAATTTATTTTGTTTTCTGAAATTCATGTACAGTATGTACTATCTCGAAAAGAAGCCTATGCTATCTTAAAAAGAAGCCCATGGGCTTCTTTTCGAGGCTAATTTCGCAAACTAAAGAGGGAGGGCTTTAATCGAGTCAATCTAGATTAACCCACTGGGCTTCAATTCGAGATTTTCTGGTATTAACTTACTGAAGGAGCCTTCTTCTTTTTAATCAATGGTTCGCTATCTGAACTATCAGAGTCTGAAGACACTAGAAATGACAAAAAAAATTGCATAATTAGTTAACAAATCAATATAAATTTAATATTTTTCCGTGTTTAAATCAATTCTAGATTTGGGTTCCAAACAATAGCTGACCAATGTCATTCAGAAATGAATAAGGTACATTTTCTCAAAAATTAGGCCAAATTGAAAAGGAGCTTTATACACTTTGCTGCATGGCAGCAGGAGCAAGACTGACAAGCCAAGGGTGTATGCATGCGCAATCTGAGGTAAACTTATCCTTTCATTGACTGTTTACAGTGACGTAAACATATTCACTACTAGCCTGGGTTCCAGGCCCTAATTTTAGGTTATTCAATTTTTATTGCACTTAGTACGCACCATACCAATTTAATTTACGTTCCATCCAACCTAAGCTTAATAGTTTTTCCATTGCTCACTAGTCCTATGAGGGTCTATTCTAAATATTTTAGGCCCACTGTATTAGGGAGGACTACTTTTTAGCCATTCCTAACTAGTCAACGCGAGTGACTCAGTTTCGTGGCTACAAAAATATCAACATTGTCATTGGTTAGAATTGTTTATTTCGGTCCGCCCATTTATACAAATTCGGAATATAAGATTACGTAATCCTTTTGGCATCCTGGCACCTGAATTCAGTGTTTTTTTACAAGTCACTTATTCCATCTCTAAATTAACTTTCTTGCTGTCCAGAATGAGAAAAAAGAAATAATAAGGGACTTGTGCAAGTCTAATTCACTACCTATATTTATTGTTCTTTTTAGTCCCTAGCCTGGAAATCAAACCATAGTTGGTTCACTTTTGGGCACACAACTGAATCAGTCGAGTTCAATAAGTGTTTGAATCACCTAACAATGCATAAGGCATAACAAAAAATACCGTACTTTTTGCAAGATTCAATACATACCAGCAGCTTTCTTGGTCTTCTTTGCTTTCTTCGGTGTCTCGGTCTTCTTCGGTGTTTCGGATTTCTTCGGTGTATTTGATTTTTTCGACGTCTCAAGTTTTTTCAGAGTCTCTGATTTCTTTGCCGATTTCTTTTTTTCCTCTTTTGCCTTATTTTTTTCTTTTTCTTTCTTCTTAGGAGTTGAAGGTTTTTTTGGTGTTTCTTTAGCCTTCTTTTTTTTAGGAGGCTGAATAGAAATTGACAAAAACAAATGTAGCTTCAACTACTACTGCTGTATTTCGAAACATTTCTGCAAATTATATTACCGTAATTATATTTCGAGCTGTATATCAACAGCGACTTCTGTGATGACCCACACAGGTCAAACAACAGCTGTTTTGCATCAAAAACATGCGGATAATCTGAATATTTGGCTTCATTATAATTATTAACAAATAATAATTATAAATAATAGTGATGATAAATAAAAATCAATTTTTGCATACCTTCTTTACTTCTTCCTCATCCTCAACTTCTGCATCATTTTCAGACTGCTCTTCACTCTCTGCATTTTCAGATTTTTTATTTACATCACTGGCTTTGGTACTGTTTCCAGTTTTGTTCTCTTCTTCATCCTCATCACTACTACTAATATCGCTAATAGAACTAACATCACTTAGGTCATCTACGGTTTCCTTGGCCACCTGTGTTTCTTTTTTTGGTTTCTTTGATTTCTTCTCTGATTTGCCTTTGCCGGAAGATGCACGCTTTCTCTTCTGACCTTTCTTTTCTACAGACACACACACAGGAATTGTTTTAATTAAATAAAATTAAAGTATTTCATAATGGAAAATATCACATCTATTATGAGAAAGGAATCCACAAATGTAGACTTTTAACCAGTGTGGCCACTGTGACAAATGAAATGATGCCATTGACTGAAGTACAATTATGCTACAGATGCTACGCCTCAAGTAGATGCACAAGACTGCCGTGGATTTAACTACCATTTTGGTACTTGGATACACGTCAGTCGGGCATGCAGTACTTTTGGCGTTAAAAATAGCGTATTTGGCTAAAAAGGGATTCAACACCCTCTTACCTAATTGCCCTACTAGGTGGGGTGAAAACATTTTTAAAATAGGCACCTCTAGAGGCTCGGAAATGGGGCACTCAAGACATTTTTTGCAATTTATTTTTCTAATGTAATGAAATTTACATCAATGTTACGTTATGCTACGTTTTCATGAAATTATGCGAAGTAATGCTACATGCTACAGGGGTCTAAATTATGCCCAAATGCTGAATTATGTTATGAATGGCCACTATGCTTTTAAAATAAGAGTACACAGTGACAGTTTAACATTATTAATTGATAAACACATAAGTTCAACGAATAAAAAAAAAAAACAATTCATACTGCTGGGCAAAGAACTTGCATACACATTTAAATTGTGCATTTGATCAACAAATTTGAACAAGGTTAAACTTTCTCTTTATTTTGCTGATGAATTGTAACTACTGACCAAAGATTCGCTGAATTCACTAGACATTATAAGTTTCTCCTCAATAATCACCATAATTGATTTTCGTGATTAATTAGATACAAAATCTAAGGAAATTAAAATTATTTAAAAAAAAATATTAGGATCAAGTACTGGAAGAACTAAACACTTACTTGGGACTTTTCTACCAGACGGTACAGGGTTTAAACAAAAATCCATGATTCTTTTCATTACTACGTCTTTGTTTCCACCTCGTTCTAAATCCAAATAAGTGCAGAAATCCCTTAAAGCAGTCATAGTTACTCTACAAATGGAAAAAAAAACATCATATATTAAAGAATAAACAACTATTTAAATAATATAATCCTGCATTAATAAATACTGAACCTTTCAATACTTAAAACACAAAAACATGCAAGGTATCTTGTTTCATACACAAGCATCTCGCAAGTCGATTGTATTCAATGATATTGTGTTGTTACAAAAAAAGTTGATGGTGTTAAATTATGCACACGATAAAAACAGTAAAATAACTCGCCTGATAAGGAACTGTTCTTTTTTATCATATTCATGATCATTCTCCTTAAAATTGAAGCCTGAAAACTGCCTGATGTGTTTCTTGACTTCAAACAACTATTTAAGAAAAGAAATATTTATAATATTACAACATATTTTCCACACCTTCTATCAAGAAACATGTGCTGAAGAGGAATACTGTACATGTAAACAGTTCCTACCACCTATATATTATTGTTACTTTTTTATTGTACAGTAGAACCCCTCATTTACGAACCCCGATTTTACGAATTCCCGATTTTACGAACGTAATATAAAGGTGATGACGTCATAAAAATTGAAGCAAAAGATTATTAAAAAAAAACTCGCTAAAATTTTACCTGTTATTACCATGCATACAACACAACACACCATACTATACAATACTATGTAATTCTCAAGTGAAGGAGGCCCTCTAACGGGCCTCTTAAAAGTCAGTGTTTTTTATGGCTTCACACATGTGCATGGGACAAATTTTACTTCTCTTTCAAACATCATTTTCAGCTTTAAAATTCAACATAGTGCTTGATTGATTTATTGAATGATCAATATATATAATAAACAAGTATCTATGGAAGTTGTGTTGGAATAAAATCCACGACCTAGGTATTTAAGAAGGTAAAAATGTCCGATAAAAACAAATTTGTGCAGGGCCTAGAGTGGGATCAGAATGCTTAGAAGCTGCCAACTGTAGGCCTAGGCCCCCTCAGACGTAAGCCTGTGTATAAGAGACAGAGCAATAGCCTGTAGGCCTAGCCTAGGCCTAGTTTATGCCAGTGTAAGTAGTATCAGTGCAAATATATAGGAATTTGGGTCAACCCCGATTTTACGAATACCCGAATTTACGAACGGCTCTGGGTTCTACTGTAATACACATCTAGATGTGTATAAGAGACAGGGTGATTGGTGTCTGATGTCGATAGTTGATCAAGTGACTTTTCTTTCTCCCTGACATTTTAATTCCCAGGTCAAGCAGCATTGAATACTCTGAAAATTAAACTAAATTTAGACATCTGCTAAATTCTAACATTGGATGAAAATATATTGTATATATCTATACTATTCATATCTTATATATTTATATAATCTCATATTTATAACTTGCTCAAAATAACAAATTAAATATGAGGAAATCTTGAACATTAGCAACACGCATGCGTCTTTTCTGTCGGCCATTTTGGCTCGTTTGATGATACACGAGGTTTACGCCGAAGGAAAATTCCTTTTTATTTTGGTATTAGAAAGGTTTCCTTTAACAAAACGGCTTCAAAATGCCAAGTTCACAACCTCTTCCATCAAAAGAGAACAGCTTGTTCAAGCGCATTTTGGTAGGTTGCTTATTTTACTATATGAATTTGAGATAATCGCAACACACCTATATATATATATATATACATATATATAAATATATATAAATATATATATATATATATATTCTATAAGCTTTCTAGCCTAACCATCCTCCTCTATATGTGTGAGCATTTCAGTCAGTAGTACGAAAGTGTCTGAAGCTTAGATTTGTGCATATACCCTATACTGTAGTTCTCCGTGATTAACTAATAGACAGGTTTCGCAAGCAAACAAATACATGTACGCATACATTAAGCTATCTGTAACGATTCGTAACCATTCTGTGATTTTTGCAATCACAGCGCAATTCAAGCGTAGTCCTAGGCCTGGGGCTTACGGCATTTGGGCTTACTATACTTAAAGTGTTATTAGTATAGGGCCTATGTATGGTTTTGGAAATTAAAATTGAAAATTTTAGCTGAAAAATACTTCCTTTGTTGCGCAAAAGTGTTGGTTATTTTGTGCTAGGCCCTATTGTTTATGACCCAAAGGTGCCTGGCTACAAGAAGTAGGCCTAGCCTAGCCTACACAAAATCCTGACACCACCACCATGGTCAAAGCACCGACGTTTTGATAAACCAAAATGAGACGCATCCTATCGTAACTTGCTGCCTTCAAATGTCACAAAAATTGCATGTACGTATTCAAAGATACATTTATTTTTTACACTTACGTAAAAATGTGAAAAAATAAACAAAGATCCTACTAGAAATCCACAATTTGCCTACGCATTTTCCACTTACGCGTAGTGAGCGAGATATGCGTGTCGCCCACACGTTTAGCGGATAGCAGCCAGCGTATGACGTCAAAATGATGACGTATCCATCACACTAAATGTACGCGTTCGTGTGCGAAACCTCCCTAATAACTTCTGTATTCATGTTAAATGCAAATTACATTAAGTTACCAGGATACATTTTTCCACACTATCAGGTTGCGTTTTTTTAATTTTCGGGGTTTTTGATGACATCATCGTCGGTACGAGACGTACGTAAAATTTCAATGTTCGTATAAATGGAGTACGTAAAAACAAGGTTCTACTGTATGGGCATAATTATGTCATATCACATAAAGGGGCTACATATCATAGCACACCCATATTATGGACAGAACCCAGGTATTTGTCACAAGTTTGACATTGTGGATGGTACTTAACATATGATACAGTGAGGCTGTTTTTTAATTGATTACCTTTCCTACTTTGCCAAATAAGAAGCGGTAGAGTAACTTCAACTGATCTGCATTCGTCCTACTCAAGACAAATTCAACTGAAAAAAGGATGCAAAAGCAAAAATTTAGATAAGAAATGGTGGCAGCAAACACACCACTATAAATCTAATCATATAGAAACATCATCAAAAAATATAGAAATGTGGAACCAGTAAAAGGAACTTCAATGTAACTTTCGCAATCACAAGTTAAAGGATAAAATATTTTTTTAAAGACAAAAGCATTGTATGTGAATCTACAGAGTATAATATGAAAATGAAAAAGCACTGAATAGAGCTTGATTTATTAGTAGCAAGCAATACTGTTGAGTAATCATTTTAACCGATTTCTTAATAAAATAATTTTATTTGAATTTTATTTGCTGTAATTTTTACATGCATGATTCTTGCAGTCTTTCAAATTGACAAATTAAATTTTTATTTAATAATTAGAAATTGTTAAGTGCTGTGAGCATACTCTCTCTTTAAGGCGGATTGTGTGCTATATAAATGATATTATTAGTAGAAGTACTGTAAAGCCTTTTATTTCCGCAGCCCTTTATTTTCGCAATTTTACAATTTCCAGTTGTTTTCTAATATAGTGCAGAAATTATGCTTTTTAGTCTATAATTTAGCTACTGCTCCTGATTTTGGTGGATTTCTCCCGATTTTCCAAGCAATCTCCTACCCTCCCGATTTTTAGGCTAGCTATCCTTATAAATTTACAAACCTCTTTCCATTTCACCAAGTTTAGTTCCTTGACCTTCAACTATTTCAAATTTCTTTTTTTCTGGTGTTTCTTTCTTCTCCAAGCTCAGACGCTGCACTTTTTTTCGTTCTCGCTTTCCTTCCATTATCTTGACTGGTCCTTCAAGTGACCCCACTGTTGAGAAAATTTTTTATTTTATAATGTAACCAAACACATTTATCAACCCTGGTCAATGATCCTAGGTTATGCTAATGATAAGCACAATGTGATACAACATGGCTGCTTTCTCAATTTGGAGTACTAAAATCATGCATAGGTTTTACCCTACCAATAATAGGTCAATTTATACTTATGGATGAGAAAGTTGATAAAGTGCATTGACCAAGGACAAATACTGTACATACCCATGGACTGAAAGGCAAGTTAACTTCAATCAATACATTCATACATACAAGATTTGAAAAGAGCTGCATAGCTCCGTATACTGTATGGTAAATATTATACTTGATTCAATTCTTGGAATTCAAGCTACTTGTGCATTGTCTTTCTGGTTTATTTTCAACAGTGTCACAATGTTAAAAGAGTAAAGAACATTTGCCACAAGGTTAACATTTAACGCACTTTACTGTGTTCTGATTGGCGCACACTGCCTGCTGCTGGATTTTGGGGCTGACAACATGAATTGGCAATTCACCAAGTTTTATTTTCCATTGGGTTTTTTATGCGACATTCAATAATTTTACAATTAACGGACGTTAACTCTCCTTTATATTTATTATTTATCTTACTAACTCAAGACTACAAAATATTATTTGATGCACAATCTTTTCACATGTGTGTATTGTTATTAAGGACATCATTTTTTGACAGTTAAAAGAGGTAAAATAATTTTAAATAAAAAATAGGCTAGGCTCTATTCTAATTAATTAAAAAAACAATGCAGCAGCACAAACAAGTTCCTGTCGTCGACCGTGAGTGGAAGAGGAGACTCTCATCAAATCAATTGTACATTTTTCTTATTGAAAAAATAGCTCCATACTTTAAATTAACGGTCTAAACTCGTGTACGATTTAGCTACGAAGCGTGCGTGCAGGAAAAATTGCAATAGTTTCTGGCTGTACTGTAATAGAGACGAATATACTATAGAAAATTTTGAAAAACAACACTTCTTACAGGGAAGTTCCTCATCACTTTCACTCTCATCCTCCTCCTCTTCTGCCTTGTCTTCAGTTGCTTCCTTGTTCACGTCTTGATTTTGCTTTTTTGGCGACTGAATTTTCTCTGGTTTTTCAGATGGTAGTTTAACTGGGGACTTGGTTTCATCTTGCTCCTCATTCTCACCATTCTTCTTACCATCAATCTCCTCCTGTGTTTTATTCTCACCAACCTAAGTATTTTTAAAATTTCAACATTTAATGATAATTTATTAAAAGAGCAAAAAGAAAAAGTTAAAGTGGTATTTCCCAAGAATGTAATTCCAAGCCATGTACTTTATTATTATTCAATTTAGTTTTATTGACAGATGGAATACACAGCTGAGTCTGGACACCATTTGATGGGAAAAGGGAACAGGGGAAGATGAAGAGATGGAGGGATGAAATACACAGTAGGGCCTGGGGTTGTGTGAGCGAAGCTGGAGGCAGGAGTAGAGGGCTAAGGCCCATTATATTACTTCCTGCTCCCTACTAGGCTTACCGAAGGCCAGCCTAGTGAGTAGGTCGCCCTAAATAAACACGGAATTTCAGTTCACCGTATTATTAACTTTACTTTAGTTTTACGGTAAAATGATGCTTTTATTTTTATTGTAAAAATACGAATTTTAAATGATTAGGCTTAGTTTAACGATGATATACTTAATTTATACTAGACCTAAGCCTGAGCACCAAAACAAATCACCACTGTTGTAATCAAGGAAACATATCTTGAACAAACCTTTTGGCTGTCGAAGTAGGCCTAGGCCTAAATCAGCCTATAGCATGCTACCGACGCAAACGTCCCAGTACCCGCGTCGAAGGGCCATATAAGCCGGTGAACCCTTCTCGTAATTTCGTACACAGCAGCTGGGTTCAGCACAATAAGCCTAAACTTGCATTTACCATAACATTGTAAAAAGAATGACCGTTAAGTTTAATAAATATAGGTTCATGAAGGTTGCTACATACCTTAATATTTACAGAAGTATCCTCTTCAGCCATTGCTAGATATTTCTTGCCGATATTATTAAACACGCGTTGGAAACTTGCGTACAATTCCAAAATGGCGGCATACAGCAAGCGGGAATATGGTCCAATGAGACGAGGCCTTAAAAAAGATGTGCTTATTGTGTAAGATCTTTTGAAGAGGTGATGTAATTGGTTCTAAGTGACATAATAACACAAATCTTAAAATAGAGGAATTTTGCTACCCTTTACACATCAGTGGTTCAAATAATAGGAAGGAAGGATTATAAAGAATGTTTTTGGTTCTATAAAGAATATAAAGAATTTTCAAATCGTTGTTTAACAATAGAGACAGAAAGATACCGTCTGTGATGCACTTAACCATAATAGTTAAATTCTTGCTGTATATTTGAATAACTTAAAGTATTAGCATGAAAAACTCTAAAATAAAAAAAAATCAAAAGAAATAAACATAATATTACTCTTAATAAATGTGAAATGTGCAACTTGTATGTATTTAATTATACAGTATTTCTATATTCCTCTACTAATTATGTGTGCATTTTAAGGAACCATATCTCATAGCTGTATTTTAATACCATTGTGACAATAATTTTTTATTTTATCATATTTAGGCTACACTTGGTCATTGAGTTCAATGAAACAATCTAAGCTCAGCTTTTCTGAATAGTGTACTACTTAAGCCGGTTAGGCGGTTCACACTAAGTGAATTTATTCACTCGAATCAAAAGCGTCCGTTCATGAGCATGCACATTCACATTTTTGTCCGAGATTTTCGCTTCAGCAAAATCAGCAGTTTAACTTGAAGCCAACCAACGTTTTTGATTTATGCGAATAAATTCGCCTAGTGTAAATCCGGCTTTACAATATGTGAATTTATTTGTGCAAATCTAAATCATCAGTTCGTTCCCTGAGATCTGATTGGTTGCATATTTTTTCACTCCGCAGAAATTATAAATGTACATGCGCATTCGCATGCACATATTATTCCGATTAGCGGGAATAAATTTTCCTAGTGTAAAACCGGCCTAATATTTCTACACGTTTGCAGGTTTGCCAATGGTGGCGCCAGAGGGGGGCTATAGTCCCCCGTCGGGGAAGCATAGCCTCCCCGTCGGGGAAGACGATAAATTTTGTCGGGGAAAAAAAACAAATAAAAAAAAATATTTACATGTAATATTCGTTTAGCCACCATATTGTTTGTGTTAACATCATCACAACAACAATAACAATAATAATAATAATAATAATAATTCAATGAGATTAATTAAAAATAATTTGCGTTCTGTTATGACAAATGCTCATTTAGATAACCTCATTATGGTTGGAATACATCGTGATAGGTGTAGCAACCTCGACCATGACAGCGTGGTTGACAGATTTCATGCAAAATTTCCAAAACATAGAATTTCACTTTCAAGAATGAGGATTTGAAAATAAATTAGATGGTTACATTGCATACTCTTTGTTTCTTGCTTTATTCAAAATGTTTTGGTTTTGGAAGCTGATTTAACATTAGAAAGCATAGCCTACATGAAGTCATATAGTAAATCGATGCCTATCACTAAGTAATAAAAATTCGCCATAATTCATCAAATATCCGTGGCTTCCAGGGAGCAAAGCCCCCTGAACCCACACCGGGGGCCCTGGGCGGTCCCCTGACCCCCAGCCAAGTGAGACTCGATTCGCTCCACTAGTCCCCCCGTCGGGGCCTTTATCCCCCCTGTCGGGCAGGTCCAGGCGCCACCACTGAGGTTTGCATGGCAAAGTACTGTTACAGTATTAAATACAGCGATACACCACATGGATAGTTGAAAAAGCCTTGACGTTTTGATTGAGTAGCTTTGTCATAATTTTATATTAAATGGCAGACCTCCTTTACTCAGCCCGAATTTATTCCCTCTCAATTTAAAATATTTAAATCCACACCACTGCACTGGTGTACTAAGAGACATATACGTATTCTGTATTGTGTTTTATTCACTCCAATTTGGCATTTTCCCATTTGTTGAGATTAGCAAGTGTTCCAATGGCCGCCAACTTCTTTATTCTCGTAGTTCACTAATTAAAATATTTATCAACCATTTAATGTCGACAACCACGAAAACAGAACATAGACAAACAAAAGCCACTGAACTTAACTTCTTTCTTTTATTTAACATGTTGCATTTTTTTGTTAAGATTTTAATATTTTATCGAACATTTAAATCAAGAAGGATTGACTAAGATTGATTGTACTAATGCTATGTACAGTACACTTATTCAATCAGTAGCACTTAAATATAAAAAGGAACTTAGTAAAGAGAGGAAACAGATTGGCATATTACAATATAATAATTTCATATACAGTAAATACTACCTTGTATACAGTAATTACATTTTTATGCACTCCTAATGATCACTATAATCAGTGTTCCTGCCACATTAGTGATAATGTTTCAAGTTAACCACACATAGGTGGTTCAAATTTTATAAAGTATTCATGCATTTCGTACAAATTTTAACCAAATATCAAAAACACATAGAAAAAATCACACTGTATAAATTAAAGGTAGTTTTTAGGTTTATCTAAATATTTTTGGACCCTTCAATACAAAAACCGTGACACTCTCTCTGCAAGGTAGAAACAGAAATTAAAAAACATAAAATGAAATATGCATCATCTAGCTGATTTCTTTCTTTTCTTGAAAAATGCATCTTTAATTTTTCTTATAATTTTTGAAAGCATTCTAGAACAATCAAAAGATGATTTACTGTGTATTGTAAAAAAACCTAAAAAACATTAGCCTAATTGAGAACTTAAAATCTATGGTAATAGGCCCTATATAATCCTTACCTAAATTGAAAGCATTTTGCAGAACTTTTATTTTAACTAGTGCTTCAGATTTCAGATCTAAATCAACTACCATCACCGTATTTGCTACTGCATTAAAGCACTGATAACATAAAGACTATGCTACCAACAGTGTTATTTTTATACAAATTGATATGATGGAGGAAGGGTGCAGACATTTCAGTATGCTCCTAAAACAGAGAAAAATATAGAGCCCTCAGCTACAGTAGTACACTCGGAGAAGGTACAGTACATGGGATGATGCAAAATCTTGGTAGCGAAAACAAGGTACTGCAATTCACTAAATTTATAGAGTAAATCAATTAGTGAAAATAATAATCAGTAAAAGAAGAGCAATATTCCAGATCCTTTCCAAAACTATACATTAAGCACAATCAAGTCTAACTTTTACAAAAAAAATTTATAATAAAATAATTACAGTACAGCACCATACATGAAAAATTGCAATATTCCATACCTCAACTAATTGATTAAAAAGAAACAAACATGATAAAGCATCCTTGAATCATCAACCCTCAGTTGACCTTTGGAGCTATTTGACCCTTTTAATATCTCCATGGTTAAATATATGCAACTGAAGGAGTGGCAGAGAATAACCTATAATGCTTCTGTGTGCTCTTGGGTTTTCAATGCTTAGGATATAATAAACTGCCAGTCAAATAAAAAAAAAAAAGATCTACACATTTGTATTGCTCATTCAAAAGAACTGGCACTTAAAGTACATATTAACTTTCTTATAGTTGCAAAATCACATTTTCAAATATTTTCAAAACCGTTTTACTACGAAATTCTAAGACTATAGGTAATATATTCTGTAAATGTTTGCTTTTAATTAAGGTGGATAATTTTATTCTCTTTCTAAAAAGGTTATGATTGTATTTGGGTGGCAGTATATTTGTAAACCATAAACTACAGTATATTTTTATCTGAGATGCAGCCAAACTGATACCATTTTAATAGTCATAAGAAAAGCATTACATGATAATGTTCAATATGGTAACAAAAAGAAGATTAAGTTAAAGATAAACGTAAATTGTCAATGCAGATACAATACATATTGCACACTTTCTCTAAAGCTTCAAAAATCAAACTGTAAATTCTAAAAAGATGAAACCACATGATATTGATATTTATGAAAGATGATTCCTAGTTAAACACCGTTCAAATACAAGATCCCAAGTGCTTCCTTAGCTATTGTCTCTCATGATCAAATAAATCATTTGAAAAATCTTCATTCAGTTATAGTGCTACTGATGACTAGGGATTTCAATAAAAATTGTTTATTGTATTTTATCTAGTAACTATGTTAATATCGACAAAAAGCACAAAGCTAGACTACACTGAAAAGCTTGCATTTACTTAACATAATCTGTATTCAATTAACACAATTTTTGACTTTGTACACAAAAACAAAACAAAATATACAGTATAAAGAAATACAGTACATGACATAAGTGTATCACTTGTTGAAAAAATGATACAGGACGTTTTTGAACCAAGAGAGTGAATGAAAGTTGTGAAATATTCTGAACTATACTTGTACAATCATAGTTTTCTGTTCCGCCATGTCGGTAAGTCGCGTCACCTCTAACTGCCAATTAGGAATCTTCTTTGCAGTCATGTGACGACGTGCATGTTTTGTGAGGTGGTCACTACGCATGAAACGACGGTTACAGATCGGGCATTCAAATTTCTTCTCGCCGGTGTGGGTCCGTCGATGACGTGATAATTCATCTGATCTTGCAAATCGTTTATCACAGCTTTCCCATGTGCATTCAAATGGCTTCTCGCCTAAATTTAAATAAACAAAGAAGGGAAAGTACTGATAACTCATTGGTGCTCGTATATTTTAACAATCAGGCTGGAACTTGGGGACCTGTGGAGTATGTGGTGCAAGTCTTATTGGTGAATCCTCACCTCTTTGTGTATTTTTAATAAGTGCACCATATGGCCTTGATTCCAAAAAAAGTGTTTATTATATTTATATAATCTTTAACCTTTTCAGGCCTGTTTAGTAATAAATTACAGTTAACTCCCACAGGTCCAAGTGACAAATAAACAATGGCAAAATGAAACTTGTATTTAAAACATTCTCATTCTCTAAACTGGGCAAAAGTAATCATGCAATGTTTAATGATTTTGAGCTTCTACCACATGGACGTCGTTACCGGTGTAACAAATAGATGTAGAAATTCCTTCCTACATGTTGCCGTTCGACTCCTTAATAATGAGTAGGGCTACCTTTTATACTTTTTTTTAATCAATGATTTATTTCATTGTATATATTTCTGTGTTTTATATTTTTAATGTCATGTTTTTATGAAGCTTGTAATGTCTACCTGATCTGAATTGCCCCATGTGGGATTATTATAGATTGATTGAATTGAATTGAAGTTGTAACTGCAACGAACCTTTTTGAAGTTGTCAAAATTAACAATTGAACAATCAGAACAGGGACAAGATTACACACAATTTACCCTAGGGACATGTTCAACTAAAAGGTCCATTTCATTGAAGAATTCTAAACAGTTAACAGGAAGATAAAGGTCTTTCACATTTTTGTAATGTTTTATGCATTGAAAAAATGACATGAAAAAAAAAAATGAATGAAATAATAATTATACCTGTATGTGTCCTAATATGTGCTTTGAGATGCGAGCTCTTAAAATATGTCTTTCCACATCCTTCATATCTGCAAATATGATTCCTACGTCGCAACATCTCGCCACTGGCTGGCGGCGAGATTGGCCTTGTTGCTGATTGGCTGTTTGCCGAAGGGGCAGGGGCCAATGGGCAGAGTTTAGCCTGGTTGGCATCTGCTTTGGGACTGTTCACAACAAGCACAACATTAGAAGGCAAGATAATGTTTCCCGGCATTAGGATTGCCTTCATTGAGGGCAGTATTGCTCGATTGAAATGCATACCATCGGGTGTGGTAATATTAAATGTCTGAACAGTACTGGTAGCAATTGGTGTGTTGTCTGGTAAGCAATTTGTCCTACTGCGATCCACTGATGCATTACCAACACTTACAGGCACTTCATTTTCAGTCTTTCGTGTCTTTTCTGAATCTGCATTTTTTTCAGTTGGATGATTGGGAACTGCTTGGATCACTGAAACATGATTGTTTGCAATAACACTTGCTGTAGAATTATTACTATTATTGGGGACAGCTGAGTTAATTGAATCACTAGGAATTGGGTTGTTATGAGGTGTTGCAACTGGTACACTATTTGATGTGACACATGATGAAATTTGCGTTACCAACGAGCTAGGTGAAATGGAACAGGACATGAGGCTGGGAGTGGCTTTTACAAGATGACAGTCCATATTGCTAACAAACGATGAAATTACATTTGTCGAAGTAAAGATGGCCTTATTGCTGGGCAACTGTCCAAATGGCATTGAAGAAAAGCAAACAGATCCTCCAGGCACATTGGACTTCGGAGGAGGAGTCATAGGTGGTGTTTCAAAACCCTGACGACAAAACAAAAACCCTAAGGTTAATAAAGTTTTCTCCAAACAACCATTAGGTTAAACAAGTTTGCTCCAAATATTTTTAAAATGTGTTTAAAAAGCTTTTCAGAGAAAAATAAATTTTAAATTAGAAATTACCTGTGATGTTGAAATTCTTTCCCTATTTTTCTGACAGTCTTGGCATGACTCTTCAGATGGCAAACTCTCAGGCGAGTCGGGATAATCTGTTGGATTTTCCACTTGCTGTTTATTTTTTGACATTTGGTTGAATGATAAAAGAGTCTCCACTGCTGATCTTTCTATTTTTGATCGCTTAGGAGAAGGTTCTACAACAAACGATGTCACTGGCCTTTTAGTGTTGTCATTCTGTTGAAGAGAAGAATAAAAAATAAAGAAAAGATAAGTGCAAAAAAGTGTGCCAAAATAAAAGTAATAAATAAGAGATTAAATGTGGTGTCATTCAAGGCTTCTTAAACAGTGTACTAGATCGTAGATGTTGAAAAATTGGTGCTGCAGCTACCATAAGTTTTCAGGCACATGACTTTTGAAAACCCCACCCTCCAAGGAATATGGGGAATTCCCCTCAACCCTTCCCAGTGAGAAATAATTTTCTAGATGCCCGGAAATGCATTCTTTGTCACTTTAGGGTAGTATTTTTACTAGAAATCTGTTTAGAATCAGCAATTTTTTCTTAAGAATACACTGTATAACCTTTCGGACTGACATGAGCTGCGCACCTGGCAGTGTGTACATATTCTTTGATCTTATCCGACAGCGCTTATACTATTATAAAACGACATATTCACAGTGTTAGTGCAAACAGTGGGTATACGATATACCATATTTTTAGTGAGGAATGTTTATTAGGAAAAGAACTAGAAGGGTTACACATTAGTATTCTGTACAGATTTTTAATAGTAAATACATTGGCAAGCCTGGTACTGTATTGTACTGTATAATAAAAGGTGATGAAATAAATGCACAGATAAACACAGGTATCACACTAGTATCACACTTCAACTGAGTGGTTACAGGAGTTCTTCCTATTCGTCCATTGCCTGACCAATCAGACAACAGCATTACTCACACCCACCTTGTATCACCAACCAAAAACAAAAGAACAAAAAAGTCTATCCAGTATAACAGTACTATTGACCAACACAAAAAGCACTTTCTACTATAGCATGACCTAAATGCATGATAAAGATGACCTCATTCATTCATTCATTAGTCATTATTACGCAATCACAGATTCTACTCAATTATCAACTGTAAAGCAGAGGATTGTCACACTGGGATCCGTTATTATTCCTATTGTCAAGACAATACCATATACTTTTTTATACTAGTTAAAATAAACCTGTAACCTATACATTATTAATTACTGTATGGACAAAACAATTTAAATGGCTCAACAAAGAGACCACAAAACAAGGCCAGTATTTCATGTTGATTACTGTAGTTTATATACTAATGGTAAACAGGCTTTTAAATAGTAAAAATAGTTTTTAAATTGCTGCCATTTATGTTCCCACCTCTTGTTAGGCTTGATTCTTTCAGATACTGTAGTCATCATTTTTATTGTCCATGGAAAAATGAATGTTTTTCAGAAAAATAGCGAAACAGTAAATTTTTTCACGAGGCTCTAAAATTTGATGAGAACAGGGACGTGAAACTAGCAATTAATACAGTACTAATATTAACATTAATATTAATACTTTCCATGATAAAGGTTGGATTTTTACAAGGTAATAAAGATCTTAAAATTGTGAAATCATTGAAAATCCTGTCAAAAACACTGAAATTCTCATTTAAGAAAATCAAGGTACTGAAGATCAACTACGGTAACTTCCAACATTTAAATGAACGCGACATTTAAGCAAAGACATTTAACAGCAGACACTACGTTTACCTATTGTTTATATGACTGCTCAATAATGAAGTTAGCAATTCAAAATACTGACATTACTTTCAAAGTTTACAGTATTACAGGTATTAGCTCAACATACATTGTAGTGTACCTTTATGTTAGTTCATGTGTTATATATTGTGATACTTTTTAATGTTCCAATTTTCTATTTAACTTTTAATGTATATTACATATCGAGTATTGATTTTTTTTTGTAAATCTATATTTTTTTAAATTCTGTACAGCGCCTGAGATCATTATAATTGGATATTGTTTGCGCTATATTAAATAAAGTTATTATTATTATTATTATTATTATTATTATATGGTAGGGCCCACTGTAAATAACATCATTTAATGTAGCTAGAAGAGTAGGCTATACAGGCTGGTACTAGCTTGGCAACCTTTACTGTATGATTCTTTATTACTCAAAAATTAGCACCAAGCATCTCAAGCCTTTGAAGAAACTTGACCAACGATCATTTGGCATGACAAAGAGTTTTAAAAAAGGGTCAGATTATAACCTACCCTTTCTGTTTAGGCCTAAGCCCGGTGTAGTGTATCAAGCTTATAGAAATTGGTAACTCCAGCATCTACGGCCCTGACACCCACTCAATACTATCTTGGTACCGTAATATTTTTCCCCCCAAGATTACTAATCAGATGGAATAAAAATAACCCACAGTTGACATTTTGCAATGAATGTAGGGCTAGGCCTACTGACTACTGTAGGCATCAGACAACTTTCTTTAGACAACTTTGTAGGGCATCTGGCAAAAAATAAACATCAATTCACTCACACTTTATTTATTTGTAAAGAAAAAAGCAAAAAAAAAAACCAAAAAAACTGTTTTTTAAGTTTCTTTGTTTTGCTGCACCAATTTTTTTAGTGAATAAGTAAGGAGGGTGAAGGCGCCCTTGTGGTAGGACTAGTTTAGGCCTAGCCTGTAAATTAAGTAAATAATTTGAAAGCCTACCTAGGGCCTAGCCTAGTAGCTAGCCTATATGTGTCAATAAAGTAAAGGCCTAAAGACTAAGAGTAGGTTAGTAGTAGGATGTGCTTAGGCCTAGACTAGGCTAAAAGGTATGGCTTTCTTCTTCAGCTGACAGCTGACCGACCCCACTCTCTTCAAATTCATCACTTACCACACACACGTACACATCACTGCTTACCAAATTAAATAATCAGTACAGTATGAACTTACTTCAATAAAATGTGATTCTGATGGTGAAGCTGGGGGTGAATAAGAATATAATGCCATTGCGGGAGTACTATTAACAACATATAACGTTCAAAATGACGATGACAGCCGTCTAGGGTAGGTTCTAGCTGCTACTATACACTGTACTCACATAGGATTGCTTATTTCGGAAACAGATGATAAGAATCACGTTGGGCGTGAATGTCTTTTCGCGATTTCAAAACAAAAACATAAGCAGACGAAGGCGGGTCAAGGGGTCTAACCAATTATATTCGTTTATTACGGGGGCTTGCCCAATGAGTGTCGAGCAAGCCTAGCGATCATGCCTAGCATGCATGTCTCTTGGATGATATTGTGCATGATCTAATAATTGGCCCGATTGATTTGTCACAACTCACACTGTGGCTGTGATGGCAGGGAGGTGCTCATAGAGGTCATAAACCTATCTCTAATGAAAATATATTAATAGATATGACTAGGCCTACTCTACTTCATCTAGAAATTTATTGGTTGAGGTAGGCCTACAATGAGGGGGTGTTGTGCAGACCCGGAGTTTCAAAATCACACTCCACTAAGAGAACTTCTTCACAACAAAAATTATGAACCGACATTCTCAGCCTGCAGAACTATTTCTAATTTATTCATTTTTTTTTTCTGTTTCTTCTTTGTCTTTTTCGTGTATTATTGTCGCGTGGGTTTTATTATTATTATTATTTCTCTTTTTGGAGGTTCCCCCTCCCCTACTTACAAGTACTTCCTGGTCGGAACAACTGAATTCGCGTGGAGATGGAATTTCCTATGCAGAACTATAGAATGTTTAGTTGGTCCTTGTTGAAATCAGGTGCAATTAATTACTACAGATTTTTAAACATAAATCTGAATAGCATAAAGTACATGGAGTGCAATTCTGTATAGTAGTAGTTACCTGGTTATACGATACGATATGGGGAGCTTTACTACAATTTTTATCTAAAAAAATGTTGAACAATAAACCACGACAACACGGAACAATTAGGTCTGCATCACGAAACGCTAAACTATCAGAAGTATCAAGTAAAAAAATGAATAAAAAACAATAAAACAATAATGAAATAATCCATAATCGACAATTGATAGAAAAAGAAATGTAAATATTTTATGAACTAATGTACAAATACAGTACAACATAATCATAAATTTTCTTACCAAGGACGAACCATAATGGGGGGGGGGGAGGGGCGAGGTGGTATTACCCCCTATCTGTGAACCATTCCCTGGTCCCCTCTATTTTGAATCCATATCATCGACTCTACTATAAAAGAGAATGGGTGGGGCTGACATTGAAGAAAAATGAATTAACACGTTGACTGCCAGACCTTTTTTTACGGTTCCTTCCCGTGTGCCAAAACAAGTTTACATGTACAAACATACTTTTTTGAAATTTTATCTAGTCATATATCATCAAAATGATGTGTCTAATAAATTGGTGGGAAAATATTAGGGGGCAAGTAAACTCGTCGAACGAGTATACTCGTTCCTGGCGCCCTCAGCAACACCCTGTGGGCGAGCAAAGATCTTATAAGATCTTTGTGGGCGAGTATACTCGTCGCTGGCAGCCAATGTGTTAAGGTACAGAATATTTGTCGGCCACCTGCTGGTCTCAAAAGCCGGCCAATGGAGTGCGACATGCCAATTTTTCTGCAAGGTCCGAAGTCCACGACCTGGGGCCACACTCACCAGATTACTTTTGGAGAGCCTGTTCGCGTAGTTAAAAACGATGTTATCACTGCTTTAATCAGTCTTGGTTTATGCATAGAAGTATACATTTTATACCTGTTTATGCATGGCCTATGATGTTTAGTAGAAGAGCCACTTGATGGCATCCTCAAGTAGTAATGAAACATCTTGTTAAAAATAAATTGGGGATATATAAGTAAAGAAAATAACATTCAAATTTCGAGTCTGATATTGCATGCCGTTTACTAACCGCAGGTTCAGCAGATTCACTGAACCTGTGCCCCCGAGTTCTAGGGGCCCCCTGATCTATAAGAGCCCCGCCCCCTTTATAAAAAAACAAAACTATATAAGCAATGTTTTATTGTGACATTTAACTACTGTATTTGTTTTTCATGAAATACTGTAATAATTTGATCTGGACTTGCTTTTCAACAAATTCAACTATTGGTCTATATATTGCTAAAGGCTTTGATGCAAGTCTAGTAGCCTAATATTGAAATTATGAACATTTAGCTTGTTACCATTTTCGGATTAATGCCAGATTATTTTCAATGTCGCCAGATACCCGAGTCCCTTAAATTTAGTGTGTGAATACAATTTGGATTTTGCCATTCTGTTTTGTCTGCTTTAATTGAGTTTGAAATTTCTGTTGCTACATAGGCCTAGCTATTACTAATAATCGCTAGATTTTTCACAATCAAGATTTATATGAATATTGTTTGAATTTTTGTTTTTTTCCTATAAGTTTATTCATTTCATCCACAAACTTTTAGGATCGTGTGTATATTTGTTTTCAACTAATAAAAAAAAATAATCTGATTTTGATTTTTCAAATTTTACTTGTGCATTTGTATCAAAGTAAACGTAATTTTTTTTAAATGTGTCTGACTGCAATTTTGTTATCGAATATTTTCCATGATCACGCTCATTAAATCTAATGATCAAGGAATCAAGGAAAATTTATTGTCGACAATACAACGAGATACAGTCGAAATTTGTGTCCGGGTGATTCATTTCATTTTATTTAGCTGAAGTATATAAAACTAATATACTAGACCTAAAAATGAAGACCCATTCGTTTTTAGGTCTTCGGTCCACTGACCATGCATGATAGCTGTTCTGGCTGGGTACTACATTCCGTAATAGGCCCCTAATGGCTAAAAACGTCTTTTGGCCTTTTTTACATCCTGATTTATAAAATCGTTGGAAAAAAAATCGGCGTCGGGGATATCAGTAGACAATTCTTCAAAATTGGTGAATGGTAAAATAAACGAGCTCTCCTTTCGCCCACTGAACTCATGGGTACACTTCCTTTTTTTCCTCTTTCCTCAATTTAGGCTAACTCTTAGGGGTTGCGCCAGCGAGGGGTCGGGGGGCAAGGGCCCCCGTCGGGGAGAGCTGGCCCCCGTCGAGGGAAAAAAGCACAAGTTGTCGGGGGAGAAAAAAAAAATTATATGTATTTTCCACATATTAATAGACTATAAAATCCTTTGAAACCCCTAAATTGTTAAAATTTCGATACCTTTTAATCGAAGCTCGACCACGCCCACTTTGCTTTCGTTGGGGAAATCTGACCACTCGTCGGGCAAATCCTGGCGCCATCCCTGCTAACTCTTCTCAATTTTCTTCTCATTCTTTTTATATTTTTTGGGCGGGGGAATGGGATGGGCCTCTGAAAAAGAATCAAACTACAATACATTCTCAAAGTCGTTGCAAATCTGGCCTGCCCTGGGGAGGAAAAAATCGCGCCTTGCATGCCGGGTCTCCTGACGCCACCATTTCATCAGATGCAGTGCTCCTACGTGAATTTTATGCTGTTGGTAATGTATTTGCTAACGGGGGAGCCGTCCCTGACGTCGTCGCCGTCCCTGACGTCGTCGGGCGTTGCTCAAAATGTTTGGGGTCCAGGGGGATAAATTTTGACAATAATACTAATAATGTAGAAAATTCATATAATTTTTTTTTTTATCCCCAACGAATTGTGGTTGTTCTCCCGACGGGGTCCCACTGACCCCCCTCCCGCCTCCTCTGTATCTACAGTAGTTGACTTTCGGTAAACTGGGTTTCGGCAAAATGGGATTCTAGGTTTTGTCAAAGTAGACTAGGCAATCTCGCATTCAGGCAAACTGGGTTTCGATAATCTGGCCTTAGATCCTTTACCACACCCTATTTATTTATAAACGTGCCCAGGGGCGTCTTTGTTGAGAAAGGGGTTTATTTTTCACTGCAAATATGGAACTACAACACATAAATTACCGTCGAAATGTGTTATTGTATGATCATAAAGACTTCCACTGGAGTAGATCATTAATAGATTACGTTGGAATATTGTTGCTTCCCTTATTAGTCAATTAGGAGTGCGTTTACTGGGCAGAAAATTATTCGAGTGGTCTTTTATTCAAAGCGGTGCGTTTACTTGAAAAACATACGTCAATACAGTACTGTATGCACTATATATCCAGCAGAACTGTCTATCCATGTATTGAACTTACTATTAATGACTAGTAAGTGAATGTCGCGATTAGTTTCGTTAAAAAGAAACAAAAATACCACTAAAAGAAGACCGGTTGCATGTTGCTTTGCTTAATTATTTTCTTTACATAAATGTCAGAAATACAGTAGTAAGATCATGTTTGATGAATTACAAAGCATGGCTAGCTTATTGACAAGACAATTAGAGCATTGAGTACAGGTGCATGTAGTATTGATAGCAGTTTCACATCATTTTTTTTTAGCAAAAAAAATATTTAGAAACCACTAAAATGAGATGAGATGCCATTGGTCGGAGGCAGCAGCTACAGCACAAATTTAATGCAACTCATTAACAAACTAAAAATCGGCTGTGCCTGAAAACTGTCCCTCCATGCGTAAATAAACAAAAGTGTTCGAAATAAAAAAAAAAAAACAAGTGAGTAACGACCTAGATCATTATTTTTGCTCCATATATAACTCCATATACTTTGAAATATGGAGTTACAGTATTTCATTTTGTGGAACGGAGACGCCGATAATCTATGTTGTTTTCCAGACCGGTAGGTTTAGAATCCGCGACGTTTTCTTCACACAGAAAGGTCTACTGATTAATCTCAGATAAGATAGTATGATACATACTCCATGTATCGAAATGCATGCCATCGTGTTGGGATTAATATTTCAACATTTTATTATGTCATCATCAGGAATTTCTTGACACATGGGTTGAATTTTTGTTTTTTTTGTTCTATTATGATTGTAGGCTTTGAAATAAGCTAAATTATAATAAATATTATTAGTAGAAGTAATAATACTGCACTCATGACTACGAACTAGCAATTTGATTAGATCACTTTTAATTATATCACAAGCTGCATTTTAACGACACTTATAACTTTCTGAATGATATATGATTGGTCAGACATTGTATTCCTTTGATATGCCAATTACCAAACAATAATACTGTACAAGACAAAGTTAGCAGCAATGTCAGTTACTACCGGTTGAAAATTAAATCACAATGGTGCTACACTGAAAACCACAAATATTGTCAATCATCACCATATTTAACCACCGGTGATATTTACTTTGTTACCGTAAAATTTAATAAAACCAAAAAAACTAAACCCACATGGAATGAACTCTTTCTGTTTTTTGAAAAGAATTCTTAAATCCAAAAATATGTTTTTGCCATTACCTCAAGGTTAATTGCCTATTACAGTAATTTACCTAATACAGTACAAATATTTTTTAATTTCTTAATAGCCTCCTGTATACACACACAGCTATGCAAATAAAATCTCCCATCATTTACCATCCAACAAAATTATAAATTCATCAGAACATTATTTTTTAAATGCAAGATAAAGATCATATTCCATTATCAAGTGAACTGTTTACAATGTATTTCAAATAAATATTCAGGAAAACTCAATATATGTTGTACCATTTGCTTATTGCTTGATGCATCATCCACTGCTTATTATTTTAAACATGTGTATTCATGTAATTTGACATTCGCTTACCATTTAATAATTTCAATTATTTTATATATATATATATTAAAAGTGTTATTATTTGCAGTACTAATATATTTCAGGCAGTTGACTAGTATTAATTTATTTCGATTGTAGTTTTTGCACCATTTTCTCCTCACATTTAAATTTTGTTACATTGTGAGCTCCTAATTATTAATCATTGTTCTCTATTAGAATGGCTAATTTATAGTCCCCCTTAACTTAAGCCTATTATCAAAGCATGGTGGTATGTGCAACTGCCGTGACAGTAAATTTCAGCTATCCAAATGCTTTCTAGAAAAACCATTTACAATACAGAGTCTATGCAAGAAAATACTAATAATTTCACACATTCTTTGGAAAATATATTTTATATTAACAATATTGTTAACCTAACAAAATCTTTTTAAGACTGCTGAGCTAACAAAATTCCTAATAAAGAGAAAATCAAATATCTACTAAATGTTAAACTATGATGCCAGTAATTTTCAATATTTTCAAATCTGAAAATGTTTGTAGTTATTCAAATCGTTCTATGCATGAATTAAATTTGTCGGTGGAATGCTATAAATAAATATATCTCCCCAGGGTACGACTAAATCACTTAAAATCACATATTTTTTCTATATACAAGAGAAAAAAAAACATTACAGAAAAAATTTAATACTTGTGTTTCGACAAAAATTTGTGATCAGCTGTCAGGCCCTAATATCAATAGATGGAGGATGGTGGGAGAAGAGGTCAGCATCTTCAAAAGCAAAACCAACAGCATCCTCTATGAAGTACCCACGGTAATTGGTACACTTGGTGTTGCTTGTACTTATTTTGAATTCCTTGTTTTCCTGTTGCAGCATCTGATGCATTGGTACCCTTAAAAAAACAAGACTATTGCAATAATCAATTATGCTGTGTGTATACACATTATTTTTTTTACAAAATAATAAAACAAATACTTTTTGCAGGCCTGTTTTAGTTCACTTCCCAGTGGATAGCCTGCCAGGTTGTGAGTGGAACCAGGACAGTTACTCTTCCCTCAGGTATTGCAGGCTGGTAAACAAATCTACCAACCTGCCTTTGTGGTGAGGGCATTATAACATTTACATATGTACCGTGTATTGAAAATTTCATTTAACCTTATTCACATAAATTTAATATGATTATAAATCTAAATTTTGAATTTAACTAATCTTATAAATAAAATTGTAAACATAAATTTTGAATAATCAATTCGTAAATAAAAATATTAAATCTAAATTTTGAACAATATTTTTTTTTAAATTGAATTTTAATGTTTCAATGTGCCATTGATAAATGAAACTGAAAATAACGGTTTAACTGAAAATTCTAATTTTGAATACATTAATTTGTAAATAAAATTGCTAAATCTAAATTTTGAATGGTTATTTTTATTAATTGAATGTTAATGTTACCATTATTTTCCTGATTGTGATTGTTTCATTTTTTTGATATTTGAATAGACATTTTGCCAGCGTAAGCATGTGAATTTAAGCTGTGTCCTGGTCTTTGTAAATGTTTTTTTGTATAGTTTATATGAATACAAATAAAGAATTATTGAAACAATTTCTTACTATACTATAGCCCGACTTCTTTTTTTAAATATTAGCAAACATTACAACTCGTTTTCAGTCACTTACCTCAGGTTATTAGGAAGGACATAATAAACCACAGGTCGCTTGAAACCATTGAACTCTGAACCAGCACACATCGTGTATGCTCCCATATCTGCAGGGGAAAAAAATGAACATTTCCTGAATACTCCTAGAGAGCAGAGCATGTTGCACACTGCTGAGCCCAGACCAAGCTTTTGGAGACTCCTGAATATTTTCTAGGCCAGAGACACCTGGCCTGAGAGTGTCATTTATGGGCAACCAGCCTCAACTATGGTGGACCTAAGGTGACAATGCTCACAGCTTTGCTGCTCTGCCAAATTACAGATCAAGTGACCTGCAGTAATATTTTTGGTAATGTTTTAAATCAATCTTTGCTTTCTGAAAAGTGATATAAATCCTATGCCTGATTATTGTTTAGTTACATATATTTACATTGAAACTTCAAAACAAATCAAAAATTGTTTGCAGGCCTGTTTTAGTTCACTTCCCAGTGTATAGCCTGCCAGGTTGTGAGTGGAACCAGGACAGTTACTGTTCCCTCAGGTATTGCAGGCTGGTAAACAAATCTACCAACCTGCCTTTGTGGTGAGGGCATAATATTATTCCAAGAGTGATATTCATACCTTTGAATAAGATCCACTCGCCAACCTCAAGCTCTGGCATGGTAGTATGCTCAATAATTCTGTCCAGCCCATCGCAAGATGGACCCCAGATACTCGTAGAGTACTCCATCTCTCCAGAATGATCCTGAAAATAAACAAATTGTAAAAATATTTATATTTATGAATGCAGGCTTGCTTTAGTTCACTTTCTCCAGATCAGATTTAGTGTTGAGTGTACGATAGAAATCAAGAGCCTTACTTTACCATCAGTTCTATTTCTAATTCTATCCAGATACTCATCAACGCCTGTTCAGCATCTGGATGATGACAGGGGCTGTGAGATGGGCCAGTACACAGGGTAACCCCTTCTCGTCTTGAAAGATGTACTGGGTCGTATAGTGCACAAGAGCCAAATGTGTACTTTGAGTACTGTTTATAGTCCTTATCCGAGTAGACTTGCTCCACCTCCACAAGGCAAGCGTGCCGTTGTGGAGGTGGAGCCGATATTATGGCTGTAGGTTGCGGATCCCTGCCTTAACCATTCTGCCATTTCGGCTCGCCTATGCTATGGCTACGTGCCTTTGATGCCACAATCGAGTATTTCAAAACTACTTGATGTATTAATCATAAACAGCCATATCAATCATTTTTAGGCAATAGCTCTGAAATCATCGTCACACAGGGATGTTCACCAATTGATTAATTTTTTTTATTTTTTTTTTTCCTGTCTAGTTCAGATAATTGAGATCAGTGCTGGTTTCAGTATGCTTAGCTTAAGGCTTCAGTTACATTTACGTATAAATGTCAACATAAATTTTTTTTTAAATATATTATTGACATGAATTTCCTATTACGGTTAGTATCTTATCACTAAAAGCAAAATTTAATCTGTTCGAATATAAAGAAATGAAAACGCGTGACCAGTTCTGATTTTTTCCCCACTTTTATACTTGTGAAAAGAGAACAGGTGCTAATTTAGTTTTACAGGTAAAGAAAACTCATCATACAGGTAATCAATATATTGCTTACGGTCATTATGGTTGGCTCAACAGAGGCATGGTCATAGAGGAGACAGTTAAACGACCCGTACACACCATCATTCACATAGTACATGTAAGCTGGCTCTTCACATTTGGTTGGGGCAACAGTGTTGGAGACCAGATCTGGTTAAGTGAATAAAACAAAACTTGTTTTGCTGTTATATTCAAATAAACCTAAAAGCACTTTTTAACATGCATGTGCACATGGTTTTTCTTTTAGATTTATTAACTTTTTAGTTAAACATTGAGAAAAAAATTTTTGTTTTATTTTCTGAATGAAGTTAAAGTAATGGTTTTTCTTAACTCTACACTTCAAGTCATAATGACAACAGGCCATAAAAGAATTGTTAAATCTGGTGTTTAAAAAACATCCCAATTTAACTAAAGGCACTACCATTCACTGCACTCGTGTATTATCATAAAATATCATTTTTGAAAATTTGAAAACAATAGGTGCCACAATACCAGGACAATGTTTAACATCATGTTCCATGGATTATTATTAACTACTCAGGCATAAATGGAATAACTGAATACAAAGCTTATAAATTAATCAATAACCTAAATTTCCTAACAAGGCCTACCTTTGGATTCTGGCACCTCAAATGTTTTGATGTCTCTGGCTACAACACGCTTAGCTGTGACATTCACTGCAAGGGTAAAAGCAGATGCAACAAAATATCGGCCTGGCTCAGCAATCACACGAACTCCACAACTCACAGGAAAGTACTCATCCAAGGCACGGTTAATCACTTCTGCAAACTGTAGAATTGCGAAATGTAACAAATTAATATAAACTTGCCAATATTATCACCTAAACACGAGACTACCATGTACCATTTGTAAGACTAAAGAACAATACATTTTTAGAATTAAAATAAATATGAATTAATCAACAGGCAGTAACAAAGATATTATAAGCACACAAATAAAATGTGAAGACACAATGGCATGTTTGCATGATGTGCCACATTGGTCTATCCACAGGTGTTACTATACACACCCACACACAATCTGACATGAGAATAGATTATACGCAATTATTGGTTACAAAGAAGCTACATGAAAAACCAACTGTGTAGCTCCTGTGATTCGTACGAACGACGACAATAAGACAAGATTATTTTTATATCTTGTTTGGTGAACCTGTCGCCTATCAATAATGATTTTGAATAAAAATATTTTATTTTTGGCGAAAAAATTTCAGAAAAAATGAAAATTTTTCTTTATTATGCCTGCCGCTCCCTTGAAATCTCAAGAAATGGTATGTGTACTTCTTCCTAATTATATAAATTTAAATCATTTAACCATCCCATTAGTACACTGTTTACATTCACCAGTAACATGTTTTTTTCTCTCCCGTCTGGATGTTTTTGTCAAAACCATTTGCTAAATAAGGAAACAAAAATTTTATTTTTTTTACAAGGTATAAATAAAAGTCTTGTCTTGTGAATACAAACCTCTTCAAAAGCAATAGGAGCACTCGGCTGACCAGGGAAACCGCCCCCTATATCCAACAAGTCCATATGGTAGCCAATGTAGTGTGCTGCTTCAAATACATCATGAGAAGATGCTATAGCTTTTGTGTAGGCACTAGATTCGCGACAACCACTGCCCACGTGAAAGCTGAAATCAATTATAATGTATTTCATTAAAATAATGTGTATATGTTTATTTTCCCTATGCTTTAAGTTGCTTGATAACACTATTACAATTTGAGCTTACTCATAGACTAAAGCATTCAATTCGAAAAACCTTGTTGTTTGGTGTGGCTCAGAAAAGATTTGAGTACATTTTGTGACTTTATCATCAGAATATTACAGATAGGGCAAGTCAAATCTATCATCACTGCAAAAAGACCTACAAGGTACGATTCCATATTTCATGCAATTTATTTATCAGTATACCTTCCAGTAATAAAATAAAGACGCTTTTCAGTAAGATTTTAATAAAACATACCTTACACCTACGACATTGAGGTCAAGCTGCTTTGCGACCTGGAGCAGGTAGCGGGCATGCTTTGGGTGACAGCCATACTTCAGACCCAGCTGGCACTGGGCTGTAGTGTCATCAGTCAGTATGCGAAGAACAAGTCTGAAAATTTTTAGTAAAATATATTTAAAATAAAAAATATGTACAGTACATAAATATAAAATTATAAATTATGTTTTAAGGCTTTTTCGTAAAAATGCATACTATCTAGTTTCATAATGCCAAATTAGTCATTTAGTGTTTTCAAACTGAATATCTTCAAACATACTTTATGCAAACCATATATATTAGTATTTTATACATACTTATTTTACACTCCATACGACATGACATATGGCAAATTCATCTAACTAGAAAACAACATATGGAAAACACTTTGCATAATTTGCTTTTGATTATCGGCTATTTTTGAACTTAATGTTGTTGATCTGAAACAGCATGAATGTTAATCACACTGTGAAATGCTGGGAGCTAATTCAAAACACAAAGAGTAAAGGAAGCCTAAGCCAAGAACCTCAAACAAATTAACTGCAAAGAAATAACACTGATGGCCACATCGAAAATCAAGACTTATTGTTAAAATTTACGTCTTCAAAACATTAAATTTGTTCAATTTTGCGAATTTTCTATTACGATGTTAAATATTAAATTGCAAATTAGTAATTATATTTTTCTTTTTCGGTAAGTACTTTCACCAAGAATGGCACATAGCGTTTGTAAATTTTTTTTTTTGCAGGGCAGCATCAAAAATTGCTCGCCTGTGCTGTGCAGACTGAATGGACAGACTGTTTTATATTTCATTGGTTTCATCAGAAGTTGTTAAAGCAAAAAAGGTTTCTGACCCTTTTTTAGTACGTTTGGTCTATTTGTGTGTATTCTTTCAATTAGTCAAAAAGTTATGAAAGATAACAGATCATATGCAAAATTATTTGAATATCTATCAAGCTAAATTTTGGAAAATACTGCAAAATTAGACTAATTGGACTTTCTAGCATAGCTTGTTTTGGGCACATATGCGAGATGAAATGCAATGGAAAATTTACCTTGCACCTGGATACAATCTTTTGACCTTGTACAGCTCGTCTTCATTGTCAAAAGTCATAAGGGACACGTTGGTGTCGCATGCATACTTTAAATGTGATTTCTGCTTGCAAGGGTTGGCAAAGATGATGCGAGACGGTGACACACTTAACTCCAGCATTGTCTGAATCTCAGCCTGTAAAAAGCGAAAACATATTTAAATTTCTTCCACATCTAATGAGCAGCCTTGCTTATTACAGGACAGAAAAGTCTCGGGCTCAGTAAAAAGACTATTTTAGTCAGAAATTTACAGGTGCACTCCAATTTCAACTTGCAAGTGAAGTGCTGCGAAGTACAACTGCATATAAATGTTCTTCGAACAAAATTATTTATGCGAGTCAAGTGAAAATAATGAATAATAAAAATATAACAAATAATATGAGACACGAACCATTGTCTATATGTGGCAAAGACAAGCCAAGCCAGTCACTCGTCGCAAAAATCAATTTTGAGTTATTAATACAGTGTTAGAGTAAACTAATAGCTATAAAATGGTAAAAAAATCATTCAAATCGGACATTTCCTTATGAAGTTACAAGCGTTTAAACACACAGCTGTTTAAAGAACTATATATGAGAAATCAGCCTTCAAAGTTCATGATTTCAGGCATTTCTCATACAGAAACTATCATCAAATCCTTAAAAAATGTTGTTTTAATATTGCACATTGGGAAAATAACAGCATAGAATGATGTGTAGGTATATAAAGGATAGTTTAGTGCAATAAAATAGATTTTCAAAAATTTGACATTCCAGCATGATTTGGCCATTTTCTCTGAAACACGATTTGCGACGAGTGACTGGTTTGGCTTGTCTTTGCCACATATTAGAACACTTCTCATTGGGCAACAAAGTTATAGTTTAGGTTTTTTTTAAATAAAGTTTCAAAAATGTCTATGTATGTGGAAAATGTAGTTGATTAACAAAGGTTACAACTTTTATTTTGAAGACTGCATGGTCTAGGAAGAGTACATTTTTTTATTGGGCAAGTTTCCAAGGGCGGGTTTCTAGGGGCGAGTTGACTGCCAAAGAGTGTTGCCAAAGTGCGAGCCAGCGTGTTATTTGATCACAAGTGCGAAACATCATAAGTGTGAGCCAGCGAGCCATGACGTCACGACAATAGATACGAGACCTTAACGAGTTGTGCGAGGTATCGGCTGAGATTTGTGGAGTACAATTCAAAAAACAACTATAGGTCTAATAATGAATTATTGTGATGTTAAATAGACAATGTTAGCGACGGAGCGAGGAGCAACGTTGTTTTTCATTGGGACCTTCGTCCCTTCAAGGCTAGGCCTATACCATCCTAGCTAGTCTAGGCCTAGAGTAGGATAAGGCTAGCGCGACATGCGGACGTTGGTACGTGTAGGTTACTCTACAAACGTCGCCTAAAGTAATTGATTTTACCCGGCAGAACGAAAGAAGGAAACTCCGCTTTTCAGTCATCTTAGGCCCTTGTTTTTTGACAAACAATGACCTTTCAGAGGTCAAATTGCTGTCAATAATATGAATTGGCTGCTTCGCAGCAATAATTTTGAATAAATATACTACAGTGAATGAATTTATGAATGAATGAATAATGTACCTCAAAACAGGAAAATTATTGTTGATCAACAAAGGGATAACAGAAGCATTTGTATTTTGCTCAGCAAGGATTTGAGTACAGTTTGTGACTATCATCAATATACTGCAGATAGGGCAAGTCAAATCTATCATCAATGCAACACAACAAATGCTTTCTGAGAATAATTTAACAAAATGAACAAAATAAAATAAATTAAAAAAAAACACCTCAATCTAAATGTTGGCAGTACACAAAAACCTGATAAAACAAAGACAGGATAATTAATGGGTAAATAGGTGGTTAAGTTACCTTGCTTGCACAGTCAAATCCAGTTCCAAGAGCAGCGAGGGTGGTCAATACGGCAGGATCAGGGTTACACTTCACAGCTAAAATTACAAAGGGAAACATGAAAAAACAACATTTGTTTACAACTCGTACCTTAACCAGAAGCATACAAAAATCTTAGGAAAGTAAAATAAAAAAATAATTAAATATACGATTTGAAATGTGCAATTATTCCATTATATACCATAATGCGGCTCGACACGTGGAAGCAGGGTCTTCCATCGACTGTGTTTCTGAACAATGTCACCCAAGTCAGAAATGAAGAAAGGATCGTCTTGATCCTGTCACAAGAGAAAAAATTTACACATTACTTAAAAAAAAAATCTTTTGAAATTCAAGATAAGCTACTTTAGTTTAAAGTCTAGATACTGTACAAAATATTAGTAACGGTTTACCTCTCTATCCTCATGATCATGAACCTTTTCATCCACTATTTTGCGTATAGTTTTTTGACTATCATGAGTCTTGATGGAGAAAGATGCAGTGATTAGATCCATTATTACACTTAGAAAACACTAAAGCACAAATGTCCACAGATAACAGATAAAAGGGCCTACTAGCTAATTCGCAGAAGCCTGAAAAAAAAAAATGGAATTACCATGGTACGTTTTACAGTTAATGCGCTTTAAAAATCTTATATGCACTGCAAAAACATTTGCTCCACATCTGCAGGCTGCTGCTTATGTGGTGCAAAAGAACAATGTGAATGCTGTAAATTAAAAAAAAATAGACTATTGAAGATTTAATTAAATAAAAAGCAATAAATCAAAATACTAATAAATGGCACCAACATCTAATCAAAGCTAAATTTATGAGTATTGGTTCTCTTATCATTTCCATCTGTATTATTAATATTAGAGAGTTACATAGAAGGAAAATAAAAACAGTCATCAAATGAATATGCTTTTTGCATATACAACTTTAGAATATATAAGAGATTATTCGCCATCTGATCATCATATACTTTGTAGTTTTCATTCAAGTCAAAGCAACTTAGCTAGTCAACCCTACAAGTGTTTACAAAGAGAATATACTGCAAAGCCCTCTATTTGCTTGGATCTTTATCTTCACAATTGTACAATTTTAAATATTTTGTGGCCTTTTTATTTCACGACTTTACAATCTCCAGTCGTTTTTTAACATGATACAAACCCACCTTTATGTTTTTTTATTCTACTATATTATAGTTATAACTCCTGAATTTGGTGTTTCTTCTGATTTTTCAAGCAATCTCCTAGAGCACCCTCCCGATTTTAGGCTGGCTCCCATATAGCCAGGCCTACTGCAGCTACTCATGGTGCAAGCCGTGACTCTATTCTATCTGTGTGAAGTGCGATTAATGGCTTCAGAATAAGAATATGTGATTAAATAGTTGAAAAATAATACACAAAGAACGAACATTTTCATAATATCTGTATAAGGGACCAGCAGTTATATAGTAGATGCAGTGGCTTTACTTTCGTAGACAAAACTATCATTTAGAATTTTTGCGATTTTTGCATTCGCATTATTTTCCTGATCATTTTATCGTAAAAATTGAGGGCGCACACTTTTTTAAGCCCTGATGGACAGCACCGCTACAGCATGCTAGCTGGTTCCAGTTCTATACAAACTACTGCAATTAATCTTCCTCATCGTTTGTAGCACAGATCTTCATGGTATCTGAACGGTCAAAATTCCTTGGCTTCATTTGGAAATTTAAATATTCAGGAATTCTAATTCACTGCAGGTGGGCTATGTATCATCAACTTATCCAGTAGGGCTAGTGCAGGATTGCACCTACTCATCTCAATCATTTACCAGTTAAAAAGCAAATTGCCAGATGATATGGACAATCATGAGAGCTCAGTTATTTTTATATGAAGGCTTCTTACTGTCAACATTAGGATAAATGTCTTAAGAAGAAGCAAATACCTGATTTAAAAATAGATTAACTGCAATATACTAAAATTAGCAAGTGTTAACTTATTGCACATTTATTATTGTATACCGAGTATATGAAATGTGTTACAGTAAGTAGCGTTCTCATTAACATGGGAAATATCTTTTACATTACAAATGCGATCGTTAAGGTGCTGTATGCAGACAATGATCACTCGCTGCCTAAAACTGCCCATGCGCATGCCCAGTTTATTCCACAATATGTACTTGGCAGTGAAGTCGCGATGTGATTGTGTATAAAACTGACAGTAGGAATTTGGTTGGATTTTTTATTATAATAATAATAATACTGTATATATGAAAACAAATAAGATTCAGGCAAGCAATTGACCTAGGCAGCCTGCATGGCTTCAAATTGGAAATGTTTTAGGCCTAGGCTGACTAGCCTACTAAAAGACTAGGTGAGATTGGCAAAATGATTCACACACAATTGTACGTATGCCTATTAAAAATACTGTGCAAACAAATCTGTTACTAACGACCAGTTTCATTGGTTTACGCTATGGCATGTTTTAATTTTGACATAACATGCAGTTTTTGGTGGGAAGAAATTTAGGCCTACTGTAGGTCGGCAAAAATTGCTGTGCTGTGGAAATTCTGGCTCGGCAATATGCTTGACAATTGAGAAGACTTGAATCTACCAAGCAAGCCCTGCACGAGAAAAATCTGGAATCAGTGCCTGACATTGTGACTACATCGCAGCGCTCCTGCCTTACTACTAGAAAAAAATTGAATGATTTCTATTTATAGAGAAGAAGAATTAATTTCATTCTTTGTTTTTTAATGTTATGTACTAGAACACCATTGATACAATGAGGACTTCTGCAGCTCATCAATCAATGTAAATTTTGTTAAGATAATGAAAATAATTAATACTCTTTGTAATGTTCACAATATGCCAACTAAATCAATTAACTGTAAAACATTTTAAAAGCTTCAAGCTAAAAAAAAACATCTAGAAAAGGTAAAATACTTACACTGCAAAGTGGAAAATTTGATCCTTTAGCAAATATCAGCTAGGGTCCCACTCGGGTTCAAAATTGATGTCCAAAACACCAGTTGCGCCTTCGGGTTCTACAGTCCAATAGATGTTACAGTGCCCACCCTAATTATTGATAAGAAATAGTAAACAAAATTGTAAAATGAAATCTTGTGACACTAAAGGCGTTGGCATAAATAATCAAATTTAAAAAATAATGATAATGTATAATAGGGATGTATTACTATTATTAATGATATTCAGGGATGACGCCACGCATCCAGCACTCAACATTTCCGACCAGGATTTACAGGCTCCCGACCACCACTATTATTTCAACAGTTTACAAATTGTAACAAAATAATTAGTTTACCTAAACACAATAGACAAGCCAAATTGATAGATAAAGACAAGAAGAATACAATAAATGATTCCGTGGTTACGTTAATTGTAACAAAATACTGCACTGCCCTGCTCTTCATCGCTAACTGAACAGCCTAGTCCCAGTTGAGTCATAGCGAACGTCGTGAGCCGGCGGGCAGCGCGCGGGCCGGCATGACACGGTTGCTGTACACATTCAAAGGTTAAAGTTGAAATCGTGACCATTCAAGTGTTTTATCATGAGAGCATGATCCGGGGCAGGAAGATTATAAATTTACGAAACCTGATTTATGTTTTTATTTCTTTACTTTGTTTTCATTTTGTATTTTAAGTTTTTCACTTTTAGTTATAATTGATATATAATGTGTAAATGGACAAAAAATAAATACACGAGTGCACATGAATCAGTGACATACACATTCATCGTGGTAATCGTCAAACATGTGAAATTACAGCAAACAATGCGGCTGGGTACAGTTGGATCGACGCTTTGTCGCCGGGATTTGTTCATTATTATTTTTTAATCTAAAACAAAGCATGTCAACTATTGAATTTAATTAGGCCTACAGTAAGTCTCATCTTCATCTGTTTTGCTGCATTCCTCAAATTCTGGCCTAGGCCTACCTGGGCCTAGCCTAAAAAAATCGCGTCAGCTAGCCTTGGGCCTAGACCTGCTTGACTTAGGCCTTTTGGTTTTTAAGAGCTTCCACGAATACGCCCCCACCCCCAGGATGATTGCCGACCGGCACTTCAAAAAGCTGGCGACATCCCTGGATATTAACGCACAACAGCTGTGTATAGAACTAAAGTGGTTTTGTTTAAGCAACCTACTGCAGCACACCTTAGTATCAAATGCTAAACTATGTGATTCTAAAAGCTCCTGCTTTAAAAATAATTTGTTTTTTGGCCAACAGTACAGTGAAAGGAGCAGCAGAGTATTCAGCATGCAGTGAGTGAGTCAACGTACCACTTAATTGTGTGACTGGTACAAACGCGTATAGATATCACTTTTTATCACTAAAAGAAGGGGTCCTTCACAATTATCAACATTTTCACAAGCGTACAAAACGTATGTGGGGGGTAAACCCTGGCATACGCTTTTTAAATAGTATTAAAATGTCCGACAAAAATCGTCACAACCACAAAAAACTGCTGAATTACATGCATGGATGATCGTATGAAATATCCTACCTGGGCTACTGGTGCGAAAGTTTGATGAACTCCCGATCCTCTATGTAGGCCGTACAGTAGCGAGAATATGCATTGAGCTGAGTGTATACAGCCTTGTGTTACGCATGCAAGTATTCGCGATCAAGAAAAATCTCTGAACTCATGCGACTGAATGTGTGTTGATAGTTGCTTGGTGACTACATCAGGCTGCATATTAAATACAATCATTACATCGCCACAGGGTACACAAAAAGCCATTGGGTTTATACAATGATTTTGTAAACGCCTTTGTGTTCGTCAACGAACACATGAAGCGGAGAGATGCAGTGTCATCCGCGCAAGTCCTTTAGAATGAAATGAAAGCTTGCAGAAAAAAAACACCGACCGCCGACTACGAGAGGTAAGCGACCAGGAGGTAATTCACCAGATCAACCACTACCAGAAGGCCTAGCTGAGGTTTTTGAAAAAGCAAAATTTCAAATGGACAAAGTACAGAGAAAAAAGCCGCAGACAACGATGATGGATTTTTTCTCTAAGGTTAGTTTAATTCGTTGAATACTAGGGCATAAGGCTAGTATTATAAGTAGTACAGTCTACAGAGTACGACCTAGCCTATAATTAATTATTATTAATAATTAATAATAATGACATTAAATAGATGTATGGAGTATTAAAATACAATAATAATAATTATTATTATTATTAATTATTATTAATAATAATGATGTTAAATAGATGTATAGAGTATTAAAATACAATAATATTATTAATTAAGTTATTATTATTAATGACATAAAATAGATGTATAGCGTATTAAAATGCAATAATACAGTAATTATTAATTATTAGTAGTAATAATGACATTGTTATTATCTATGTATATAGTATTAAAATACAATAATAATTATTATCTAATAGTATTATTATTATTATTATTATTAATAATAATAATGACTAGTCATGTTGACAATTCATCTGCCTCTGTTTAGCTGTTATTTTTATTGCTGCGGGGTGACCATGACACCCTACCACTTCAGTGGCCGCCAAAGACCACAAGTGGGGTTTTCGGATTTAATAGTCAACAATAACTCTGAACTAAGTACAATAATCAATGCTCATATTGTTTTACTTGTCCAAAATTATATTAACAAACAAATGTTCTTGACATACAGTACAGTGTACTGAAATTAAATTATTACACATTGATAGTCATTTAGGTTATTAAGCCACTACTCTGAGAGCAACTACAGAGATAAATAAATGTATTGATCATACTCATAGTACAGTTTAATGTGTCTCATTTACAGTATTGAATTTACTATGAATTGAACTGGCTGTTGCAGATTCTGTATCATTGAAAGATGAAAAAAAAAATTCCAACATTTTCCTTGTACACTTTCGGGGGAGGGTGTTTACGAAAAAGTGTACTCTTTGTCCACTTGTGAAAATGTTGATAATTGTGAAGGACCCCTAAGTCAATACATGACGATTAAGAAATGTCTACAGTCATCACAACGTTTCAGCTTGTATTGTACTGTATAATCCTTTTTTACCTTATCTTACACCATTAGTCCTATCTTACCTGCTCTAAGATTATAACAAAATTATTATTGGCTCATGTTTAAACAATAATTTGACTTTCACTTGCTAAGGTCTTTCTAAAATTATAATAAGATGTAGCAGCATTCAATTATGCTTTAAGTCATTCTGTTATTTAGTAAATGGCAATACTTGCAGCATTTGGTCGACTGGGGTTTACAGAATGACTATTCAAATGATACTCCTGGGTGGATCCATAGAATAGGTGGGTGTTGGTAGTCACGTCCGGACTTCCCCCACCAACTTAACATGCAAGAGTGATTTTTAGCTGACAAAGTGTACAGATGTTGGGTAAATAGCAGCTTTTTTTCTTCTTTATGGGTGGGGGTCATTTAGGGCTACGAGAGTAATATTCATGCTAATGTAGCTAGGAGCATATCCGTGAGGGCTCTTGTCAAAATCCTGAATGAGGAAGTGTTACCATATCGGGAAAAAATTGGCGTTACGGAGGGGGGAGCCTTTTCCCGCATTCTGATTGGGTATTACAAAAAAAGAAACACTTGGACGATGTTCTCCGATAATTTCTGATTCGGAATATGGAATTCCCACCTTCAAAAAACTTAGCGGTGATATTTTTAGAATGTTGCCAATTTTAATAAAACAAAAAAAATATAAACTTTATGTAATGTTATTTTTGATGTAATAATAAGAGTTGTGCCCCAAGTTTTTAAATACCCTAGGCTAGATAGAGTCTGAGCCACTCTAGGCTGCGATAAAAGTGATGTGTCATTGCGTAGCCTACCAGAACATTGATTGCACCTAGACTTAGCTAGGCTGTATGCATATGTACATGCATATGGTCACAAATATAAGATAGGCCTAGGCCAACATGCGTAAATCGGGGGAAAAAATCACTATTACATTTAGCATAACTTTGTACTGTAGGCTAAATATTCAACCAATTTTTGTCATCTACACTGTAAATTACTCGACATCAATGTGTTCTTTCCATTGAACTAAATGTGAAACTATATCTGAAGTCAATTGAAGGATATAATTTTTTGTGTGCTCTAGCTAGCTAATATTGAACATTGTTGGCTCTAAGTCTATCAAAGATTCAAAAGATAAGTCTATCAAGGTGATAAGACTAAGGACAGTTCCCCAAGTTATTTAAACTTCCCTTCTTTCTGCACCCGTCCTGCTGATATCTGGTCCCGCCCCAGTACCTCACAGCCTCGCGAAAGGCTGCCGAGGGCGGTCTTTTCAAGAGTACTGTATTAAAATAGGCCTAGGCTAAGACTAAGAGTCAGACTAAGGACAAGGTGGTACTAATGCACTTTCGCACCTAACTTTTAATTCTTAATTTTTTTACCTGAATTTTCTTCTCACAGTCACAACACAATTATAAAACATTTTTACATGATTCAACCACTCATAAAGTACATTTTTTCAACAAAAAGATACCTTTATAAATATAGGTTGATACAGGGTTTCCGCGCTTCCTAGCACGACGAGCTGTACTTTTTTGCAATCAAGAAATTACCAGAATGTCTGAGTCAATTCTTAAATTTTGAAACCATTAAAGGCCAGTCTAATAATTTTAATTGGAATTTTCCCATGAAACATCCGACAAAAATGTGGCATCATGCAGTACCATCTTTTTGAACCTCAGTTCTTGTCGTAATCGAGGTTAATCAAACCGACGTTTGTCACTGGCTTTAATACTGTAGTTGTTTGTCTGGATTTAGGCCTAGGCCCCTAGGCCCTATTTTTCGATCTGTGTACGCATTTGGATCACTAATTTTTGAAGTAATTATTGTACGTGTGAATTTCATGTGAACACAGTCAAACGGCAGCACCATACAATATAAAGAATGACATACAATATGGCAAATAGATAAGTTTTCATAAACGTTTAATCAAAAAACTTCGCGCTGCAACCTCAGACATTCTGGCAATTTTCTTACTGATTGCAAAATGGCAGCCGCTCGTCGTGCTAGCGAACACAGAATCGCTGTACTTATTTCTGGGCTTATTTGTTGAAAAAGGTACTTTGTGAGTGGTTAAATCAGGTGAAAATGTTTGTTAATTATATGTTGTGACTGTGAGAAGAACGTTGAGGTAAAAAAATTAAGAATTAAAAGTTAGGTGCAAAAGTGCATTAGCGCCGGACAAGGTTAAGACTACATTAATTATTAGAATAAGAAGATTAAGAAGAGACTCTTTTGTTTTGATATCATTTTAATTTTAGCCTAGGCCCTAGGTCTATGGTTCCGTCTTCCGTAATTTTATTCATAGAATCATAATATTCAAATTTCTGCATGCCAAATAATAGAAGAATCAAGACATATTAATTATTATTGGGTCGGCATTTAAGTTTAAACGAATACATGGATGGAAAGCCGACAGTACTAGGCCTACACGTACATGAATGAAGGTGAGCGCCATGGCAGCAACCTAGCTGTACGGTCTCGTGCAAACACCTTCTCAGAGAAAAGGTTGTCCCATTTTTAACATAAATTAAATATTCCATCATATTAAGTACACTTTAAAACATGTCACATACCTGGGCTGAAATTTCAGCAGATAATAACCGACTTTGGCTTTTCGGCGGAATTTTGGCGGTTTTAAAGCACGACAAACCAGTAAAAATTAATAGTTTTCATGAAGGATATCAATAACGCTCTCAGTTCTGTGGCGGGTTGCGTTGAAAGAATTTCATGGTGGGATAGGATTCCTATTTGAGCATGTGAGCATATGTTTCCTAATAGGACGCGATCCATACGCGCTCTGACGTGACGCGTAACAAAAGTAGTACTGAACTCACAGCAGGATCATAATTTTTTTTTTTATTTTTACTGCAGAAAACTAGTCTTAATAGAATATTTTATATGAATATATATGTATATATATATATATGTATATATTATATAACATCTTTATAATAATAATAATAATAATAATAATAATAATAATATTAACAATAATAATAAACTGATCATGTGATTTATAATTAGATAGAATCATAGTACTGTACAGTATTATATTACACAATAACTCGAAATGATGGGTACCGTATTGAGTTATAGACTCTATAATGTATATAGAAACGAATCCAAATAAAGAGAATAATATGCTAAAAAACGTAGAAACGTTATCATCTCTAAATATTTATATATTTAACTTATGAATGTATAATAGAAAGATGATACATAGCCGTCGGGAGCATTTGTCCGGCCAACGATTTTCCCCAGATAGCTCGATGTGAATATATGCCGGAGGTTGATGAGAATTATGCTAGATCAGTGGTGGCGCCGGGATTTGCCCGACGGGGAGTCCGAGGACCAAGAACGGGGTGGGGGTGGGAGGTAGTCGATGGAAATAGTGGGCGTGGTCGCTGTCTCTTATACACATCTAGATGTGTATAAGAGACAGGTACTGTATTAAAATAGGCCTAGGCTAAGACTAAGAGTCAGAGGGGGGGGGTCTTCTAATTATCGTAGATAGGCTACATAGGCCTATGGACTACATTTTTTTCTCCCAATGGTGGGGCTGAGGTAGGTATGAATTAAATCCCAACTAAATTTGAATGTTGTGTCTGCCCCTTGAGGGGGAGAAGTAGCGACTGTATAATTTTCAGTGCTATTTTTTTTAATAGTTCAGCTGTTTACAGGGTTTAATTTAGATCGAGTGTTATTGGGGTAACCTCTAAATCATAATGCGCTTGGCTTGTTTGAAGCGCACAGTAAGGACCACGGAACCACCTGTGATCAATTTTTGGAGCTTATTATCCACGGGTTGTAGTTTTGTCTTTACTTTATTGAAAATTTATTCATCGAAATTCATTATGCATTTTAAATTTTTTTTTTTTTCATTAATATGTTGTTTTTCTTCACGGGTCAAATTAATTGCCTCGAGGGCCAAATTTGGCCCTTGGGCCGCCTAGTATTTAAGAATCAGGGATGTAAAACAAAGATAACTAAATTAGGTCTATATACCATTGACACTACAATCAGAACCACCGATTTTTTGTCCGGTCCGGGGCTTCTCCGTCCCTTCACCTCAATCTGAGGATTGCTCTCTAGAAGTATTACTATCACAGACTAATGACAAAAACCACCAAATTAGTCTATACAAAATACGGTACACAAGCTGCTGACTGCTTTTGTTCCAGCACCCTGACCAGGAGCCATTTCCCTTTTATTCCAGCTTGGACTCACTTCACTTTAGTCTGCATTAGACACCGTAACCTAAACTATACAGGTACTACCATTTATGTCAACAACATTCGTCATCATAGTCGTCGTCGTTATCGTCCTCGACATCATGATAATGATCATCATCATCGTCATCGTCCTCGTCATCATCATCATCATCATCATCATCATCATCATCATCATCATATCATCATTTCATATTTTTTCTTGGCACCCAGGTAAACAAAGTTTGGACAGTATTCTGTTGTAAAACTGAACACATTTAACATTGTGCTTCTTTCACCCTTTAACCAAAAAGCTGGATCGTCCTTGAATCCTAATTATGAGGTATTCACATGTCTTTATCGCCTGGTAGATCTGTTCATGGAGGTTTGCCTACATGGGCTGTCTGCCATAAAAACTGACTAGAATTAAAGTTTAATCGGTGGTATATAAGGCCAGCAGAAGCATACACAGCAATTAATTGAAAAAACTTTTAACAATTCAAGTGATAGTACAAAGTACAACTCATCTGACATTTAAAATATTGTACCAGCAGTATGTTATTCGAAACTCTACGGTATTTATTAATTTGCAGGCCTATTTCCAAAAATATTCCTATAGCATATTGCATCCTGTGTAACATATGTTTTATTTAATTGCATATTGTTAATAATTCACAATAACACTGAACGATAGTCACTCTTCATTGTATTTTGTATTCATGTTCCTTGCTCTTTATTTATTCAGTAACAAACTCAATTCATCTATTTATGGCAATGATTAAATTAAAATTTTGAACAATTGAATTTTGAACAATTTATTATTTTCGCAATAGTCCACATTTGTCTTTTTCACATGAACGCCTACGAATTGTGATTTGATCATTATTTTGAGTCATGACTACCTTCTGTGTCCAGGATTGGACCCACTCTTAGCATTATGTACCGGGCCATCTCTTCTTGTGAATATAGGCCTATGCCAATGTTTTCTTGAGTAATACCGGAAGAATAGTGTGCCCTTTACATGCTGATGTGAACATTTCGCTAATAACAAATAACAATTAGTAAATGTACCATAATATATAATCTGTCTCTTATACACATCTAGATGTGTATAAGAGACAGGTACACGTGTCTCTGAATTACTGCTGCGATGATGACGAACGACTGGAATCTATAAAATATAAAAAACGGCGAAACTACTCGCAGAAGTGCGCCCCAGTCGCCTGCGTCATAAAATGAAACTTCTAACTCTTCTATGCAAAGTTCTTTTGATTCTACCATGAGATTGAAGATATATAATATCAGGTTGTAAACCAGCAACACAAGAAGGATCGTCTTTAGTTCATTGGAGAAATGAAATTTATCAATACGTACAAGTTTACATAAAAACATTGTCTGTGCAGTGCTTTGCAGAATTTAAAGAAAAGTTATACAACAATGATTTACATACATTTTAGGAATCAGTCAAATCTCCCCTGAACTTAAACCATCTATTCTTTGATGGTATAAAAATCCATTATGGATATCAAATTTTAACAAAAATGATATAAACACTAATGATTAATTATAAAACTAAATAGGTTTTTTGTTTTTTTTTAAAGATTATTGTTATTGATTTAAATTTACAATACTTACTCTTATATATATATATATATAATATATATATATATACTCTTATATATATATATATATATAAATCATCAAAGGTATATATACATATAGGCCTATATATCTTCTTATTTACTTAATTTATTTTTAATAGTAGTAGAAGTATTGGTATTTATTATTACTTTTTTTTTAAATTTATTTAATGACAGTAATTAAGTTTATACTGATTTTGTTATTGTTGCACATATTTTACGGTGGTGCCTAAAAAGAGAAGCAATAGATAGGCCTAGGCCTACTTACACTTATGATATTTTGTTCTCACAAAATTTGGTAGAATGTCCTAGATTGGTTGAAATTGACTTTTGGGATTTTTCGAGCGGTCTGGGGTGAAATGGGAGGAATCTTCTGTGCTCGGCCTATTATCCATAGGATGTCTATAGACAAAAACAATAGTGTTTAGAGATATTTTCATCAATAAATTTGGTCAAAAGCCTTTAGCCGTGTGGTTAGCGCCATCTTGAGTCAATAATTTTTTTTTTCAACACAAAAAGAGGTTGGTGGTTCACTGCTGGCCTAGAGATTTGAGAAAATCATTGAAAATACAGGTAATTAGTGGTGGATGTATGCAAATATTTTGTATATATATTAGATTAATAGTCGAACAAACTGTATGCTCCTTTCCTACCCACCTCTAGGCCGGCTAGCCTAGCTAGGCCTATGAGTGGTGTAGGCCGTAGGCCTGCTGTTGCCAGGCCTTAGTTTTATACCCGGAGGATTAAGGCCTGCGCGGTGAATCCTCCGCGCAAAAAATAGGCCTAGAAATCCTTCCGCGCATTTTGTCGTGCACAGTTTGAGACGTTTGCACAATTTGGAAATTGTGCAAGGTCCTCCTTCCACAGTTTGCAAACTCTGCAAGGATTTCAAAACAAATTTGAAAAGTGGAACATTTTGGTTGACAATTATTTTTTGTGGGCCTTTTTTTATGGATCTTTTTGTTTAAAACAATTTTTGTAAAAAAAAAAAAAAATGAATAGCATGAATTGATGATGACTTTCCATTGAGGTACTGTAAATTTATTATTCAATCTTTCAATAAAATACATTGCAGCACATGGATGAATTGCGTATGAATTAACAAAAGTTCAAAATATAATAGGCCTATATAAACAAGAGCGACCGCTCACCTGGTCTGCGCGTTCTCCCATTCTTAAATTGCGTACAGGTGCAAGATATTATATTGGGTTTTTTCGAAGAGCTAATAAGATAGACATTTTTAAATAATTAGAATGTTTATTTGTACAAATATAGACATTTTTAAATAATTAGAATGTTTATTTGTACAAAAAAAAACCATTATTTTAGAATGATCATTTGTACAAAATTAAAATAAATAAATTGGGAAAAAAACAATACCAAGACCCGTTTCGAACTCAAGACCTTAAGTTCTTTAGAACACATCCTTAACCGACCACGGCATTCATGTGACGTACCCTATTAGTGGTAATGGCAATAATGTACAGTAATTTTTAAATAATTAGAATGTTTATTTGTACAAGAAAGAAAAGCATTATTTAGAATGATCATTTGTACAAAGTTAAAATACTTAAAATTGAAAAATAAAAATTGAATACCAAGACACATTTGGAACTCACGACCTTAAGTTATTTAGTACACATCCTTAACCGAATGTCTCAAGCTTGAAATGCGCCTCTGTGTTAATTTTATTTATTTAATGAACATGGATGATAACTGTTTGACAAAATGAAAAAAATAAATAAATACGCGATTCAAACTTGCTAAATACGAGATTCGAACTCACGCCCTTAAGTTCTTTAGAACACATCCTTAACTGACCACGCCATTCATGTGACAAGCACTAATACGGTGGTGGTAAATGGCAGTAATGTACAGTCCTTGCTGAAACCCCTGTTTTGTTTTGTAGGTGTAGGGGGAACCTAACTTAGTCTAACTTAAAAAAGGGTGATGAACGTTCTTTGGAAATCACCTTTAGTTTATGTGTTCAAAATTTCATGCACGTCCAGTCAAAACTGGCGACGTTGGACGCTTGTAAAGTTTGAAACCCCTGTTTTGTTTTGTAGGTGTAGGGGGAACCCTGGGGTCCAACTTAAAAAAAGGGCAATGAACGTTTGTTGGAAATTACCTCTAGTTTATGTGTACAAAATTTCCTGCATGTCCGTTCAAAACTGGCGACCCTGGACACTTTTAAAGTTTAAAACCCCTGTTTTGTTTTGTAAGTGCAATGGGGACCCTGGGGACAAACTTAAAAGAAGGGCAGTGAACAGTTGTTGGAAATCACTTCCAGTTTATTATGTGTACAAAATGTTATGCACGTCCGTTCAAAACTGGCGATGCTGGACGCTTTTAACGTTTGAAACCCCCGTTTTGATTTGTAGGTGTAGGGGGGACCCTGGGGACAAACTTAAAAAAAAAGGGCGATGAACGTTTGTTGGAAATCACTTCTAGTTTATGTGTACAAAATTTCATGCACGTCCGTTCAAAACTTGCGACGCTGGATGCTTTTAAAGTTTTTAAAGTTTTGGTAACAAGAACAAGAACAAGAACAACAATGAGGCTCTGGGTTAGCGCTTCCCGCAGACCAAAAACGTTGTGGCTAGAGATACAGTACTGTATTTCTACTTCCATTTGCTAAAGGTGCGGTAAATGGCATCACGTCACCATCACCCAATGAAGTGCGAAGTGTGTGTGATGTCATCTTTCATGACCAGCATTGATTGCAAGATCGCTAGCGGTGTGACTAGCGAGCAATGTACTGTCAGCGAGCAAAGAGTACAGTATTTGTCATCGATAAATAGGCGTAAGGGTTCCACTCAGTAATAACCAGTGTCATGTCATTTATCTATAGCCATATCAAGCAATGTAACTCCCAAATCTCATGAAACTATTAGACTAATTCTTATTAGTATTTATTTAGTAGTGGTAAGTCCTTAACAAATTCAATTTTTATTCTTATCCTTTTCATTGTAGCTACCGACTGTGTCCCACAAACACAGCCTCTTTCATTTTAAATTTTCCATTCACTTACAACATCAAAATTACCGTATATCTCTAAAAAAATACAAATGTTATTAAAATCATAATGTAATAATAAGTTAATATCAATAAAATTGGTAAATACTGTAACTTTAAATTTCACGTTTTACAATAATTGCTGAAGAAAGAAACCTTGCAAAGTTTGCATACTGCAACTCAAAATGAGATAAAAGAACGAACTGTGCACAACAGTATCATCCGCGCAATTAAAATACTTAAATTTCAGTTACAGTATATTTTGAAAGAACATGAGAGAGCAGGCTAGCTCAGCCGGCTAAACTGGTAGTAGCCACTGTGTGTGCGCTGAACCGTAGAAATCTCTAGGTCCCCGGTTCAGTTACCATCACTGCTCTCCTTGTGTTTCAGCTGGAGGGCTGAAATGCAAGTTTCAAAAGTGCACCGTCTTTCGGATGAGACGTTTAAACTGTTGATTCCATGTGCAAAATGACTCGTGCACGTTTAAGAATACGGAAAAGAGTAAGGGATTGTGACCCGGTGTACTGCCCATTTTGCCACCAGAAAGACCCCACTGGAAATATATCTTAGGACTTTCATGGGTTATATTTTACACATTGACACCGAAGCAATCCAATCCGATATTTGTTTTGCCATAAAAAAAAAATTAATTTCATGCGAAAATATGTTGATACACAAATCTAAACTGGAATGTATTATTTTGTACATTCTTTAAGATTACAGTATTATCAGAAATGAATGTGGTTTGTTCACAGGTAGAAAAATGTCTCTTGTCAGACCCAAGATGAGAGGCCTGTTGCAGGCTGCTTTAAAGAAACACTTCTTGATTGGTTGTACCTTAGCTATAGCATCAGCATATGCCACCAAAGTTTACAGTAAGTTACAATTAGTGGTGGACTCAATGCCTGAAATTTCTAATACAATTTCTTGCCCCAAAAACACATAAAAATACATCAGAATCACAATAAGACTAAAAAAAAAAGGTAAGATAAACAAGGTTATGAGCCTTTTCGCATGTTTTTTCAATCACAGACTGAAATACTTAATTTGTATAACTTGTTCCATACAGACAAAAACGTGGCTGATTTAATATGAGAAGAAATAAGACCCATTACTCCAATACCCAACAGAATATGATATAAAACCATACAAAATTTGTGCAATTTGATCTTCCTACAGTAATTCATAGGCATACTTGATATGAATATAAAAATGATAAAATCATGTGGTATCAGGGTTAACCCTCTATATTCCCAGAAGAAGGGGATTATGTCCTGAGGAGTCCCTTTGAATCTTAAACAGAAAACATATTTTGACAAAACAATAATACAAGTTAAATAGAAAAAAAAGTGTAAAAAATGGTAAAAATGCTAAAATTCAGAGTTTTAAAATTACATGGTTAAGAATTCTTTTGAAATATGGGATAGTAAATTAATTGCAATCCAGCACATATTATTCATTAAATATTCCTTAAGAGCTTTTTAAAAATTTTCTCTATGTTTGATAATTTTGAGAAAACCTGGGAGACCGTTCCAAGCTAAAATTTTGAAATAGTAAAAAGTAGAGGTCCTGTTTGTAACGCCATCATGAAAATTATGTTGGTTGGCTATGGCCTCTGACAATTTAACAACATTCTCATGCATGTAATTGTATCTTTGTTATTCCCCTTCTTTTTTTGTAGTGCTTGACAGTAGAAAGGCAGCGTATCAAGCATTTTACAAGGACTATGACATGATGAAAGACTTTGAGAGAATGCGTGATTTAGGTGTTTTTCATTCTGTGAAACCAGCAGGCTCAGAAGAATAAATAACATCATATTCAGGTAAGTCTCTTTTTTTTTAATGTAAATTCTCTTCATGTTAGTGTATTCAAATTTACTGACCACCTCATAAAGGCAAGGCAAAATACTGTGTAATTATTTTATATGCCACTATGTTTACCCTACTTTCAATGTTGAATTATTTGAATTAATGTGTTTTTGTTAATTAAATAAAAGTTTATTACCGCAAATGCTTGAATAATAATAATTGTTGGTGGCTTCAGTGTGGCACTAATTGGAGAGTGGCACTTATTCAAGAGCGGCGCTTATAAAAAATGTTGTGGCAGTTTCCATGCCTGCTCCCATGTTGCTTATCGCCATAGTTCAGTAGGCCTATCGCAAGTCCTATGTCATCGTAAATAAAGGTTTATAATGAAATGCTTGTCCTCATTGTGTTATTTATTCATTTTAACACTGTATACACTGTATTTAAAACACTCAAAGTTCCTCAAAGTGTTTCATTACACACAGGGTAATGTACACTCTCAATTAAGTGCCGTGGCATTTATTCGAGAGCGGTGCTGAGCTAAAAAAAAATCATGTTTGGTCCGGCGCTTATTTAAGCACTTATGGTACAGTATTATTGCTAGCCACCAATGATTGTATGTAAGTAATGTTGTTAAATTTGGTATTACACACTAACAAAATGTATATGTATTTATGAACAGTCCAGTGACACATATTACATTTTTTTTTATCTGCAGATATTTAGGTCTTTGTAGAGATATTGAAGTTAATGAAAATGACTGACCAATGCAAGAACAAATTCAATTTGTCCTCAACCTCACCAACAAACAGATCTGAAAAAATGTAGACAAGTTTTTAAAGAGCCTGTGTTGGTTTTCATAATAATATCTTGATTGGAATCGATATTAGGTGAATAGCATGCTTGGAATTAATAATTTGCTGTGTTCAATTTCATTGCCTTTTGCCAAGAAATAAGAAATGTATGGTTTAATGCAATTAAAATAATTATTGTTGGCAATGTTAACATAAAGTTTATTCGAATATCAGAGAATCAATCAAGTTTCTTTTGTTTTTGTGAGTATTTTTTATACTTCTGATTGAAATGATTACCGACGGTGATGAAGATGCTGATGGAGGTGGTGATGATTACAATAAATAAATCAAAATCATTTATATGCTGTATAATATTTTTTCAATACTAAAATTATATTGAAAGGTGCTTTGACAATATCAAGCAACCACTCAAATCTATTACCAATGGGCCTCAAAGCTTCCACTTAACACGTAATATAACCACAACAAGCATGCATTAGTAACAGACATGTATAGAGAAAAACTCTATACAGTAGTGCTACAGGGATTTATTTATGAATTTGAGTAGCTGGAGAAATTTGAAAGTAACAGGAGAGTAAATTAAAATAGGTCGGGGGTATAGGGGGGGCCGCCTAGGCCCCCATCGGGGTCCAGGGGCAGAGCCCTGGTCGGGGGTCAAGGGGGGAAGCGCCATTGCCTCCAAGGTTTTAGAGGCCATTTGATGGAATTTCTCTACATCATTTTTTATAACAGTTTTCAGAATCAACTACTGAGCTGTAAAAAAGTTGATATTTTTACATATTCTTCATAGGCCTAGCCTAAATAGATACGTAAACCAGAAACTTTCGCGAATTGATAATTTCGGCCGTTTTCGCGACATTAAACTTTCGCGAATCTCAAAAAAGCCTAAATTTAATTCATGAGAGGAATATCATACAAATCGTATCGTGAGTTTAGGCCTAGGTTAGATAGGCCTACAACCACTGTGTAGGCTACAGTATCTAGGCCTAGGCAGGCTTAGGCGCCATAAGCCTGCAGCCACCTCAGTTGCTAATACCAGGACTTGGCTAGCTATCCCCCAGGCACAGATAAGAAAGATAAAGTTTACACACATACAGTACTCACTCATATGATACCCAGGTCTAAATTCCAGTTGATCCCAGTTGAACTAGGTTTAACTCGGTTGAACTGGTAATTT